TATATAGCATATATATATGCTTGTAACTGATGAACAACCCCCCAAAATGTTGGGAAAAATAATAATAATGAAATGCCAGCAGGGGAGGATTCGGTGTTTGGGCTTATGTTCGCATCGGGGACCTTCTTCTTGCCTCAACTCAATTTAATTGCTTATTTTTACCGAACATGCGCAAGGCACAGCAGTAGCAGCAGCAAACATTTCAAATACAGTAGTGACTCGAATAAGGCGAACTTGAATAACATTAAAGCCGAGTTTGAATGTCATAAACTCAACTTTAAATGGAAGTATTGGAAACGTTTATTTATCTATTTTTTAGGTTTGCTATTCAACTTTTTCTATGTTCAGTTTCTTCAACATATTACAAATAAATATTACATTAAATTATTTTTATTCAAAATATTGAATATAAATATTCGTTTGTAAAAGTTCTGGATATGTTTGAAGAAAGTAATATAAAGAATTGAAAATAGGAGAAACTCAAAAATATTAAATATTATTAGATAAATTATCTTTATAAACAATAATGAAGTGTAGCAAATATTAAAATTAATTCTCTTTAAACTCAGGGATGTTAGCTAAAAATTTCGTTAACTAAAAATTCGATTATCCTTTATTAAAAAAGGAAGAGCAAGCCTAGAGCAACTTTAATCTTCTATCCCTGACTATATTATCAAAAAAGAAGTTGTTTGTTGAGGTTATATTCCTTTAGAACACTTAATACAATATTTCAATACAAGGAAATCCTTATAAACATTTTTATAAACTAATATCCTTTCATTAGTAGAAGTCCTACTGTATGTACGAGCACTTGCTCCCTGGGGAATCCGACTCTGCTGCCACTTTGCCAGCTGCTCTGCCGCGTCTCTGTCAGCGGTGGCGCGGCTGCAATTGATTGGGCTCAACACACATACACACACACTCGCACACACATACAGGGGCCCTTAATTTCTCTGCCCTTCTGGCCTTTTACCCGGGATGGATCTGGGGAAGAGAAAGAAAGAAAGAGAGCGAGAGAGTGAGGGAGATGGCAGCAGAGACCAATGATGCCGCCGCCATATTCTGCTGAGTAATCCAGGAGATAGGCGTGGCCCGCACACACACACACACACACAGAGAGAGGCATACAATGATTGATTACTTTTTGTTGCCACTGTTGGAAAACTTCAAGAAAGCCTCACGAAAAACTAGAAGAAAGAAAAAACGTTGGAAAGAAAATGCAGGGTGCCAGAAAATGTCACACGAAACAAAAACCCCAAAAGAGAGAAAAGAAAATAGGGAACTGAAAACATTTTAATTAAAACATCAAAAGTCTTTTTTGGCCGAATACGGCAATTGTGTCGCTAATGTTAGCCATTATCCTGTGATTATCCCTCTTTCAACCAAGGAAATTGTATTCCCAAAAAGGGAAATGTATGAAAGGCTACCTGTTTCAGAGGAGGAATACGGTTTTGTACCGGCTTAAGAGTGGGCGGAAACGCCCCTTACGGACTCCGACTTGACTTGACCAAAAAAATAAAGAAGACAGAGAAGAGAAAAAGGATTAAAGTGGTCTCGGCCAGCGGCGTTAATAATGCATCATTAACGCTATAATTTGAGCTCAAATTCCTCTTTCTTAGTCACTCTCTTCCTCGGTGAATCGGCAGAATTTGCACAGAAACATCTTCATAAGCGATCTTCGCATTTGCTTCGATTTCAATTTGCCATTTCGTTGATTCTCTTCCCGAACTGAGTTTTGGCAAGTGTAGCATGCTCTTTACCCACAATTTTATAGCCGCAAAATATTGTTTACAGTGTGTGAGTGCGACGGCTAGCGATAAGAGATCGGGTCTATGGCGTAAACAACTGCCCTCCCGTCCCATTCCCCTTACCCACGACAACACTCACGCCATAAGAGAGTGCTCCACCGAGCCCCCGTGAGGTGCCCTCGCTTAAATCAGCATTATAAATACTACATTACCGCCTGGCACTTGGCACTCTTTGTCCGCTTTAGTTTCCATTGATAAGATTCGCCATTATCGATCATCATGGCTGTCCCATAAGAGCGGCGAACACTCTTCGAGAGGTTTCCATGGGTTAAGGGAGCAGCTGCTCGATGGGTTATGAGTTATAGTTGGGGGCCTGATAAGAATGGTGAAATAAGAGAATCTATATACATACGAGTTTCTATGTAGCACTCCTTTATATAGCACCTGACTTCAGGTATAAGTTTAATATCAAATTTTACAGTAACTAAACTTGTTATCTTTAAGGCAGTACTATTTATATTTTTGGTAAAAAAAAACTTTAAGAGAGCTGTCGGTAAGTGGCAAAAAATGTTTGCGAAGAGATTGCTATTGTACGCTTTTAAGGGTATTATAACTTCAGTCAGAAGCTTGTAAAGCAATGAAGGAGACATTTCCGACCCTATGTTTCATATATATTCTTGAACAGAATCTACAGAAGAATCGTTATAGGCATGTCCGACCAAAAAATACATTTTTGAAAATTTTTCAAAATTTACATCATTGAAATTGTCAAAATTTGACAAAAAATTGAATTTTTAAATTTTTTTAAAACTAAGTATGCAGATTTGTTAAACTAAAAAAAACTAGCATAGAACAGCTTTCCAAATTAAAATTAATGATTTTTTGGCTTAGTTATGAGTTTTTAAAACTATGATTTTAGGGAAAAATTGTCTGTTTTTATACCTTTTTGCAGGTTTCTATGACTTTAGTAAGAAACTGACAATAGAATCAAGAAACGCAGTATGCAGATTTGTTAGTGTAATTAAAACTATCACAGAAAAGCTTTCCGAATTAAAATAATGCAATATTGGCTTAATTATGATGTCCGAAAAACAATGATTTTTCGGAAAAATTGTCTGTTTTTATACCTTTTTATAGAATATAGTTAAAGTCAAAAGTTTAACAAGTAATGAAGGAGTCATTTCCGATTCTATAAATCATATATATTCTTGATCAGCATCAACAGCCGACTCGATCTAGCCATGGTTGCCACATCCACTTGATCAAAGTCTATCAACCACCAAGCACTAGATTAGGAATTTATATAAAAACACACAAAAAGAAGAAGAAGAAAACTAAACTTCCTGTAGCTAGAGCCTTGCTTAAGTGTAAGACTTGAGAATCGCAGAGGAGAGCGCTCTATGTATTAAATAGTTAAGCAAAGCCTATCTTTCAGTCGAAAGCTTGAAACTTATGGAAGGAGTCATTTCCGATCCTATAAATCATATATATTCTTGATCAGCATCAACAGCCGACTCGATCTAGCCATGGTTGCCACATCCACTTGATCAAAGTCTATCAACCACCAAGCACTAGATTAGGAATTTATATAAAAACACACAAAAAGAAGAAGAAGAAAACTAAACTTCCTCTAGCTATAGCCTTGCTTAAGTATAAGACTTGAGAATCGCAGAGGAGAGCGCTCTATGTACCAAATAGTTAAGCAAAGCCTATCTTTTAGTCGAAAGCTTGAAACTTAGTGAAGGAGTCATTTCCGATCCTGTAAATCATATATATTCTTGATCAGCATCAACAGCCGACTCGATCTAGTCATGGTTGCCACATCCACTTGATCAAAGTCTATCAACCACCAAGCACTAGATTAGGAATTTATATAAAAACACACAAAAAGAAGAAGAAGAAAACTAAACTTCCTCTAGCTATAGCCTTGCTTAAGTATAAGACTTGAGAATCGCAGAGGAGAGCGCTCTACGTACCAAATAGTTAAGCAAAGCCTATCTTTCAGTCGAAAGCCTAAAACTTATGGAAGGAGTCATTTCCGATCCTATAAACCATATATATTCTTGATCAGCATCAACAGCCGATTCGATCTGGCTATGTCGGGCCAAAAAAATTTTTTGAAAATTTTTTAAAATTTCAAAATTTTATAAGGGGTTGTTACATCATTAAAATTGTCAAAATTTGACAAAAAAATGAATTTCTTTAAATTTTAAATTGAGTATGCAGATTTGTCAACCTAACAAAAACTAGCATTAAGAAGCTTTCCGAATTGAAATTAATCCTTTTTTGGCTTAGGTTTGAGTTTTTTAAAGTTTGATTTGGAGTAAAAATTGTCATATAAAAATATTGACTAATATCGTTCAAAGACTGCATGTATTTTAAGCTTTGTTATAATGGATTTTTGACTAATTGGAAACTGCAATGTTATATAAACTTCAGCTTTCCAAAATTGGTTTCCTTGTGGTTTAATTTGTCAAAGATAAGGTTACTAATTGCGATTTAAAAGTAAAGTTTATCACCATTATATAGCGTTTTTCTTAATTCTATTTATTTAATAATTTTTTTATTTAAAACTAGATTTATACTTAGATTAATATAAGAAACAATAAGTATTCTGTATCACCTTAAGATAAATTATTATATGTAATATCTTGTTTTGGGTTTGTATTTGCATGCCGCTAGATGACCTTTAGAAATATATCTAATTAGAAATGTAATATGGACTTAACTTACCACTTAAGTAGGTCTTGTAAATAATAGTTGTCATATCGTTTAAGTAGAGTATCTGCCATTCTCTGATATCCATTTCGCTGTGACGAATTTTTATCTATATGCCACACGACTTATCAGCAGAAAAGCGTAATGTAAATCGACATTATCATATTAAGCAAAGTGAACCGAAGTGAGGAAGAGCAAAGAAGAGTAAACGAGGTCTCCATATGGACTATGAGTCGTCCGACTCTTGGAGCCTTCAGTCTCTCTTCGGAAACTAGCAAATGCGGATGACGTCGCGAGCCATTGAGATCGGAAACCATACAAATAAACAAAATACGTATAATACGGAATACGGCATAGTGAAACTTAAAGATAAATATAGTTACTATAAACGATTATCCTGAAAAGAAAGCAGTGAAGATGAGGGTGTTCATCCATAGTGATATACTGGTTAGACTTTTGTGCTGGCAGTGGATAAATCTATACTAAACTATGATTTAATTATCCATACTAACTTTATGATACCTTCCTTTGCAGGAGAGTGAGATCGCTGAGGTGTTGTACAAGCAGGATGTGGATCTTGGCTTTAGTCTCGATCAGGAGAAGATCATCAATGCCTCGAATGCCAGTGGCAATACCGGAGCCAACTCTACCAAGTCGAAGCTGGGGGATGAGGCCAAGTCCTCGGATCCCTCAATGTCCGACACGGCCATCAAGGATACCAATGTCAATGGCGAGAAGGAACCCGGTGAAACCTCTGTGGACGATATTGAGAAGCTAAAAGCTCTGGAGGAGCTTCAGCAAGATAAGGTAAAGTGATTTACATATGGAATTTCACAATATGTACATAGCCCATGGAGGTAGGGTGTAGGGGGTAGATGGAGATAATGCCCAAGTCGGTTTTTGATAATTATCTCCAACTATCCAAATGTCGCAGTTTATTTGTATGGTAGTTTCAACTTATACTGATCCTATGATTTATTTGTTAAACAGGAAAAGGACAATGAGAATCCTCTGGAGGATATTACCAATGAATGGAACGGAATACCCTTTACCATCGATAATGAAACTGGTGAGTTTTAGCTTCTCCAACTTTATATCTCTAACTAATTAGTTACTAGACGATCTTGTTCTGGTTACATGTGGTCAGATCATCATCTTACGGGTCGTATCTTATCTAGGATAATATAATTTCACTTTCAAAAATAACCAAAGATAAGCTCTACAGAAGCAGGAGGCCTTCTGCTGAGAAGGCACGTTTCTTGGCCAGATAAAAGTACTAGGTAAATTTTAGGGATTACGTATTATTACGTTTTATTTTGGAGTTTGTCTGATAGAAGATTTACATTACCGAATTAACGTTAAGATAAAATGAGGACATGTAAGATTAAGATGTATTAAAATATTCAAATAGCAAGAGATTAGATATATATATTTTTGTGGAGAACTCATTCTCCATATATTATAGCTTGTAATATTATTTATCAAAGCATCTTTTCCATTTATTTCCCAAAGCTAATAACAAAAGGGTGGAAAAAAATAACCGATACAAGTTGAGGGAAAATGGCCTGCCAAAAAGATGGCGGCTCCTCTAATATAAACGAAAATGGATTATCCTGGATTCGTTGGGGTTTTTCTTACTAACAGAAGAGGGTGTATTTGGTGGGGCTTTCACCATTGTGTATATGTGTGTTCGTTTATTTTCGAGACGTTTATAAATGAATGTAGGCATTCTGAGTTGACAGGCACGAAAATTAAAAGAAAAATGAGCTTTTTTTTCTCGTTTTATTTGTGTGTGAAACAGCCCAGCGACCCCATCCACTCCACTGAAACCCACCCACATCTCACATCCCCAGCAAATGCCACAAAGGCCAAAGCCGATGGCTGCTGCTGCTGCTAATCTGGTCTGCCCGAAACCGCGCCCCGTTTTCCCATCCAAGAGGCCTGCCTTTCAAACAAACTTTGACACGCACACGAACTTTTATTATTATTAACCGAGGAGGATGAGGAGAAGTCATGAGTTTGAGGGGGCCCCCACGACTCTCCGGTCTTTTAGCAAGCCCGTCTGGTTCCGAGACTGGCACTGGGACTGGGTCGTGCCGCCGCTTCTGGACGGAATGAGTCCACGACAGAGCCAGAGCCAGAGCCAGAGTCGGAGGCATGAGATACGAGACCGAATCCAAATCCAAAAGCGGTGGCGGTGGCAGTGGCAGTAAAAGTAGCTGCCACCGCGCGTCGCATAGCCTCGCATGCAACATTTTTCTTTTGAAAAATGAACGAAACATGATTCGCCAAAATAGCCCAGGCACATAAACAACACATACCCACAAATATATATATATATAAATAATATATAAAGAAAGAAGTGCTATATACCATATAGCATGTATTACGGGGAGGTGTGTGTATATGAATGTGCAAGGCCTCAACTTTGGCCTATAAGCTATACTCAGTCCGATTGAAGACCCTTTTTTTTTGCTAAGCTAAAAAATACAGGGATGGAATATAGTTTATTTTCGGCCTAAAGAAGTCGCTATATTTAGCAGGGATACATTTTTTAAGATATACCACAAGAATAGTATTTAAAAAAACCTTGAATATGTTTTGGAAAAAGTAAAGGTATAGTTTTGAAGCAAAATGTTCTTATTGAAAAAAATTAAACAAATAGGTAATACCTATTTTAAACTTTATCTGGTAACTCTTCTCTGTATCAATAACTTTTATCTGTCAACTAAGACTTATAAAAGTCTGACCAGTTGTTAAAGTTCTTTGTGGTTTCCACTCCTGAAATAAATCACAAAAGGATAACAAGTGCCTAAAAGTATCATAAGAGAGTTGCCAGCTTTCATTGGTATCGATAACTATCTTTTGTATTTTACATTTTATGTGAACAAAATGTGCCACATCATTGTCTGTCATAAATAAGTGAAAACTTAAGTGTTTAAAATTTAATTATAAAGTTTAATTGGAACGTTATTTAAAAAGTAACACAGAACATGTGTATTTCTTAGTTATGGTTGCTTTGCCGCCTAGATTGGTATGAACATTGCCTAGAAATTAGAACCATATTCCTCCTCCTACATATATTTCCTACATATATATATTTCCTACATATATTTGTGGAACCCAGCCTGTTCTGGCTCATTGAACTGGCAAATCGAGCAGGAGAAGGAGAAAAGTGGTAGCTTCTGTTGAGGTTCTCCCTTCCTTCCATCACACACGAAATCGCTGGCCACCATTTTGTGCTCCATGGAATAAGGGAAGATTACGAGCAGCCACCACCACCATGTTGTATATATATATTTCCTATTCACGAGCATCTATGATGCTGCTGCTGCTGCTGCTGCTCATAATGATTGCTTCGTTTGAGCCATTTATTAAAAATCCATTGATGCTTGCCCCGACTCTAACTCCGGATAGATAGATTCATATCGGATTCGAGGCACGCATTCACACGCACTGCTGTTGCCCTTTGTCTGTTTTGGGCTTCGATCTCGGATTTGTGCGTATCCAAATTCCCCATGGATCGAACCCAAACGAACGAATCTCTGTAGCCTTTGGCGGCATTATCATCTCCATTGTTCCAAGGTTTGACTAAAATGAAAGTCATTTTTTCGGTTGCTATTTCCTTAGCCGATTTTCTTTTACTTTTTTGTATTTTAGAATTCATAAAATTCATCTTCCGCACGTTCAGGTGTGTTGTTTAGTTCGTTGTTCTTTCCGCTTTTCACAAGTTTTTCCCTCATTAATTTTTAACTGCCGATGCCAATGATGAAGTTGTAACTATTCTGGGACATTTTCCTGCCCATTGTCCTTGTCAAGGTTGCCTTGTCATGGGGACATGTGTTACTCCCCTACCAGTTTTAAGAGTTCTAGGATGTGACACGGTTGGTAATTAAGTCGCCAGAAGTATCTCGTATCTCTGGGATACAATTTCGCTTCGCTTTTTAACGCCTGTCCTCCAATCAGCTAGCATTTGTCTCTGATTTTCTATATCTATCCATGGGTATATATGTATATATCTTTCAGTGAATCACAAAATCTGATTACATTCGTTGGCTTTCAATTCGATTTGGTTTGTTCTTTTGCTCCCCTCTCTGTTTGTTGTTTATTTTTTTAGCTTCTCAGATCGTTGACAACTTTTGGAGCAATGACTTGGCCAGAAGTTTTTAGCTTTTTGGTATCATAGAAAAATGCTCTTATTCTCAATTATGTTATAGATATTTTTGGTTTCTTTTTCGGTGGCTTAAATTCCATTATGCAATCAGTTAGGCCGCTTGCCGGCTGCCAAGCTACGCAAGTTTATTGACCACAAAATAAAGTTTTTGAGGGGAGTAAAAGAAGGGTTTATTGGTGGGAACTGAAAGTTGAATTCTATTTTTTCAAGAGTTTGAAAAAGGAAAAAGACACGTTTCAAGAATTTCTCTAAGCTGTAACCTTTTATTTATGTAGTTCTCAATATTAAAGCAAGCATTTTCAAGTACAAGCATATTTCTTGTTCCTCTTTTAATTAGTTTTATTTTACTTTTTGTGAGTTCATAATTAATTATGAATAGAGTCCAGGAGTTATCATTTAATTTCCTGTTCATCGATGGGTTCCTCTGTGGCTAACATCAAAGAAAACATCACAAAAACGATGAGGGTTACTTTATTATAAAACATCTGGTGCGGATCCAGCGGTGCACCTATTGAGGATCTCTGGTCGCTCCGGTGCCACCTTTTGGTGGCTCCTCCTGTCTGGTCTGTCTGGTGGCCTTCCTCGACCCGCCCCCGCTGCTGTCTGGCAACGGACCGACCGAAGAAATTGTTCAAATTCTACGTGGTCAGCATTACGCTACAAATTTACAACTAAATAAAAAAAAGGGAAAATTTACATGCTGACAAAATAACAAACAGACAGGGAAACAGGGAGAGAGAGGGAAGGGGGGCCATAGGTGAGAGCACTGCAGTCCTGACCGGCTTTTATTTTTGGTCTAGTCTGGACTGGTCAGCACTTCGGTGGCGGCTCCAATTTTCTGCTGCATAATCGTATCACTTTCAAGTGTTTTCAAAGTCTTGCGCAACCTCTCTTTGCCTCATTTTCCGTTGCCAAAACTAGCCCAGAATTGCACAATTTTATGAAATATGCAGTTTAATTAGCCAAGCACTTGACCCATTGAGTACTCAATGTATGTCTTAAGGATTACGAAAGTTTTTCAATCTTCAATATAAGTTCCAATGAGTGTGTATTCAAATGAGCAGCCATTCCATTCATAAGGTTCATTCAAGTTTCTTTTTGGCTTGGAATGTGATGATTTCAATTCCCATTTTGTGGCAACTCATTAACAACAAAGAGTTTGGTTGACTTCTGGCCATATCCAATACACATGTCTGTTAACAATACTCTACCTCCTTCCGACTTGGCCTGGTCTTCTCTTTTGGCAATTTCATTGTTGACAGAGTCATGGATCTGTCCTGTCATAATTGTTGCTTTACTGGGTTTGCTCTGATTTAAGCCAGGCTTCAAGCTAATGGATTTCCTTAATAAGTTAGTCTTTCACCGGATACAAAAAATCTCCATTTGAACGCCACTTTCAATCAGCATCGGCTTCTTTATTATTATTATTTCTCTTCTTTTTTTGCGTCGGGCAACAATTTAAACTAATTAAGTTGTAATAAAGCACTCAAGAAAACGCTTGAAAAAATGAAGAAGAAAAACATTGGAGGGGAAACAAAAAAGATATGATTAACCAGGCAAAGTTTGGCTTGTTCAAAATATATATGTATCTCTGTGCTCGTTTTCCTACTGTTTTCTAGCCGAGATGAGAAAAAATATATGTATATACAAAAAAATTATACAAGCATCCAATCGAAATGCCTGCCCCCGCCTCACCTCATCAATGATGCTGCTAATTTTTTCAGAGCGAACCGCCGACGAACCCCGGCGAACTCAACTGAAGCGATCCGATCCGATCCGATCCAATCCCCGCGATCCCTCTGACCAATTTCATTTATTTTTTCCCTACTTTTTTGTATCTTTGAAGTTCACCAAAAGCATTTGCTTTGGGGGGCTCTTTTGGTGCTTTTTAGCCTGGTCTATTAGTTCAGTGGCCCATTAATGTGCATATTGCCTGCTCTTTTACTCTCTTTTCGGTGATTTTACGATTGCGGTAATTGTGTTAATTATTTGGGTAAATAAGTTTGGTATTTTGATTGGGCTTTTTAGAGGTTGTAACTGGGGGATATTTTTTTGGAGGGAAGTTACTCTATTGAGGTCACTGGAAAATTGCAGATAAATTGTGCCAAATTATAAGGGAAATCAGAGTTTAATTAGACTTTAAAAATCGGTCTTTAAAGAGAGTGTGTAAATTGAAATCTTTAGTAGACATCAACATTTATATAATTATTTTTAGTTTAGACTTCTTATAATCATTCTTCAACTTCAACTTCAAAAACATATTTTTCATAAAGATTCTTCTATCAAACATTTAAATACAGTTTCTCTATAAGTAAACACCTTTTCCTACTTTAAAACAATAAGAACCATGTTCAGATTAACCCTTTCAGCTTTTCTCTAAACAAAGTGTCTTTGTAAAACACTTCCCTGGCTTCCTGCAGTCAAAAACAGTACTATATTTCACATTATCATAAAACCCTTCATAGCTAGCAACAAACACCTGATAAATATTCTCCTTATATTTTTTTAAAAACCTCGTATATATTCTTTAACTAACAAAAAGAAAGTGTAAAATGTGTGATTCGGATTCGGGGGAAAGTACCTCCTCGGCATCATCGCTCAGCTCGTTGAGATCGTCCTCATCCTCGGGCTTGAGTGAGTTTGTTGATGCCAGAATTGAGCTGCAGGACATATACCACGATTTGGATAGATTTATATCTTCTCTCATGACCACTGTGGAGGGGAGTAATCTTATGGATGACTCAGAGGAGCAACAGCAAATGGAGCAGCTTCGTTGCTACTCCAGCAAAGTGCAGGCCATTGAAAAGGTAATGTCCCGGGATCGCATGAAGGTGGCCTTCTTTGGAAGAACTTCGAATGGGAAGAGTGCTGTGATCAATGCCCTTCTGCATGAGAGAATCCTGCCCAGTGCCATGGGTCACACAACCAGTTGCTTTTGTCTGGTTCAAGCCACCACGGACGAAGAGGATCCAGAGCATGTGCGGGTCGAGCAGGAGGATCAGCAGCTGGAGTTGGGTGCCCTTAAGGAACTGGCCAGTGCTCACTCTCCAAGAGCCATGAAACCCAGCACTCTTTTGCACGTGAATATGCCCAGGAGTCGCTGTCGTTTGCTGGACTATGATGTGGTTCTCCTGGACACACCAGGTGTGGATGTAACAGCTCATTTGGATGACTGCCTGGATCGATATTGCATGGATGCTGATGTTTTCATCTTGGTTCTCAATGCAGAGTCTACAGTTTCACGCGTGGAGCGGCAGTTTTTCAAGGATGTGGCTTCAAAATTGTCGCGACCAAATCTCTTTATACTAAACAATCGCTGGGATGTGGCCAGCAGCCAGGAACCGGAAATGGAGCTACAGGTGAGGGATCAGCACATGGAACGTTGCCTCAAGCTTCTTATCGAAGACTTGGGTGTATACTCAACGGAGGAGAAAGCCCGGCAGAGGATATATCATGTCTCGGCTCTGGAGGCTTTGCAATTACGAAATGGTTGCAACCCAAATCCCACTGGACAAACTAAAGAGCGTTACCTAGAGTTTCAGCGCTTTGAGACTGATTTCTCCAACTGCCTGGCACATTCTGCCTTAAAGACTAAATTCGAGCAGCATATGCTGAGTGCGCTGGATATCCTGGCCCAGTTAGAGGCCACTTTGATAGGTCCTCTCACCTCAAAATTGGGCCAACTGCTGAAGGAAACTGGTGAGGAAGCAAATAAGCTTTATGCGGAAATAAACAGCCAGGAGCTCAAAGTAGTGCAGCGGGGGGAAGAGCTTAAGGATCAAGTGGATGATCTATGCGAGGAAGCCCTGGAGATGGGACAGCAGGTGCTAAGGGATCATATCGCCAGAGTCCTTCCCTCGGCCGTGGAATCCTTCTCGCAACCATTTCATCCCCAGATGGCAAGACAACTCAGTCACTACCAGCGCTCCCTGAGTGCCCACTTGGAGGTTCTACTTGCAAACGAAATCGTGGAACGTATATCTATACCGCTGCAGGTGAAACTAGGCCAGCTGGATCAGGAAGTTCAGGGTCAACCGTCGGAGGAAACTCTAGCTTGGCAGCTCATCTACAGACTGGACTTTCAATCCCTGATGCGTGACTTTCAACCGGATCTGAGATTCCGTTTCTCCTGGGGCCTGGATGCACTTTGTCAGCGCTTCCAAGGAAAGATGTCTCTGTACGCCAGTCCAGTGCAAGAGCGGAAGCTACTCAATGGCCACAAGGAGGTGACACCAGCTCCTCCTCCGATGAATGCAAGTCAACTGGAGGTTATAACATCTCTACTCAAGTCGGATGGCTCCCTTGTAACCTTGTTCCTCGTTGGAGTTGCTATACGTTCTTTGGGTTGGCGTGCAATGCTGATTATTGGTAGCCTTTTGGGATCCATGTACCTCTATGAGCTGCTCCGTTGGACCCCAGCTGCTCAGGAGCGAAGCTACAAGTTGCAATACACACAGCACTTGCAACAACATCTGCGGGCGAGAGTGCATCAGACGGCAACCGGATTCGAGTTCCAATTCAAGCAGCAGCTGGTCAAGGTTCAGAACTTATGGATAGACGAGGTGGGACTCATAAGAATGAATTTCAATTCGAAGATTTCAAAATTAAAGGAGCAACTGAAAACGATGCAGGAACTACAGCTGAAATTGAAGGAGTTTCGTTCCAAGGGAAATATGCTGGCAATTCGATTGCGGGAATTTCAAGAGCTCTATTTGGCTAGCAGGGTTTAAAATTATGAGGGTTTCCATTTAAATTTGAGTTTTGTTTAGTTTCAATTTTTGTTTTGGATTTTAATTAAATTTGCCAATGGTTATATTTTGTGTTTTATATGTTTTACAGATAAGTTTCTGGTTTTGAGTATCAATTTTTTAAGAATCTTAAATTAAAATGCATAAAAGTGTTCTAAAATTTATATTTTCTTAAATAGTTGGAAGATATTTCAAAATTCGATCCGCATTTTTTCGGTAGAGAAGCTTAGCATATCAAAAATTTCTTCTAACTGGTTATTTTATGGATTTCATAGATTTAAATATTTGTAGAATGGTAAAATAACTCAAAACTTTCATAAAAAACTTTAATTTTCCTATAAAATGTAGCATTTTCCAAAGTTTTCTTTCTAGTTTCCACAGTTTTGATTATTTCCCTGCCACTTTAATGCCTCTTACTTGACTTTAGAAAATCCTTTTCCATGCAAATTTGAGCGCTTTTTGTTGCTATTGATTGTTGAAATTACTTGATTAGATTGTTTTTCCTTCCTCTTGACGGCTTGTACACACACACACACACACACACTCTTGCACTAAAAACGGGCTGTAGAACATGCACATGCTGGGAATAAGAACAAGAGAACCAGTTTTGGCTTTTTTTTCGTAGACTTCCCAACAAAGCGTCCATGTTGAAGCGGCCAAAAAGCAAAAGCAAAAGTACAGCTAAATGCACACACACACACAATTCAGTGCCCAAGCCGAGCTCTTGGCTCCGCCTCTCGCACACACTCACACTGCGCATGAACAAAGGCAGCTCAAACCGGGGAGGAAGTCCATACGGTTGTCTCGCTCGCACGCAAGGCTTGAGAGCGCCATTTCTCTTGCGGCGCTGCCAGCGTCGACAGCGATGGCGGAGCAGAGGCCGCGAGGCAGAGGCAGAGCCAGAGTTTGGCAGCGGCAGCATTTTTAGAATCGTATTTGAATTTTATAAACGCTCGAGAAACCTTCGACGCTTGACGCGCGCGCAAAGAGAAGCGAATCAAGGGTTAACAAACATTGAGAATTTTTCCGGGGCACTAAAAACGTGGGCGTGGACTAGCAAAAATAAAAAAAGGACTCTGTTTCGGGATCAAACTGTCGAGCTCCGCAGAGGTGACGCGGCATTCCGAATCGACCGCTTCAAAACGCTCGTTCTGTTCAAGTCAAGTGTATGTTGCCACGGTTCTTTTTCTGCCAATTAGATGATTTGGGAAATTCTCTATAATATATAAAAATAATAAGAAAAACCAACACCCAGCATCGACAAACTGTGTCAAATATTAACAAATTACCAAACTATTACGCGTCTGCATTTGTGCAAAAAAAATAAATATACAAAAGTGAAAGTTACCAAATCAAAAAATACATGCCAGGCTCCAACACTCAAGTGACCATTGTGCGATTCTAAAAAAAAAGCCCCTACAATAACCGAAGGCATTGCCAAATAACTTAAACCCATTTTCCACACACACACGAGCTTAACAATCGAATTGTGCAAAGGAAAAATACAAAAAAAAAAGAAAAATAATAATAATAAAGCCAAGACAATAAAAGGCCTGTCTGCAGCGGAAACGGCAATATCGCATTTTGCGATTGGATTGCTATTGCTATTGCTATTGCTATGTCAGTGTGTTGCCATTGTTGATTCTGCAACATTTTGGCTGTCAAAACGTTACATAATTGTCAAAGTGTTTGGCCAAATATCAACAACAATCAGCGCTTTATTGCAACAATTTGTGTTCAATCTGCTTACAAAAGACAACAACAACAAATCAAAAAACAAATCCACGAAGAAGAAATAAAACCGAAACATTTGAGTTTTTTTTTGTGTTTCTTGGATTATAAACACGAATATTTCACAGATATCAACATCGTCATCATTGCAGCATCCCTTGAACTAAAAAAGGTTCGTAAAGATCCATTGTTTGGTACGAAGATGTGACCGAATTTTGAGTATTGTCGTATGATTTGAAAATTACACAAAAGTACAGGGTAATATTTGGGCTACAAATTTTTGAGATTAATCATTAAAAGAATTAGAACTTACAAATCAATAAGAAACAATACCTTCTATACTTTTTATTCAACTTTTTTTAATAGGGTTTTAAGTATTAATTTATGGAGGTTTTACTATGATCATTCTTCAAAGAAATAAATTAGAATCTTTGCTCAGAAGCTATGATTCTTATTACAGCTCAAAGTGGGGTTAAATTTAGATTAGAAACTCTTTAAAGTAATCATTTAGAAAATAAGAACTTGCAATCAATAAGAAGCAATTTTTTCTAGTCTTTTTAAGTAATTCTTAATGCTCAATTGAGAGCATTCTTAAAAGAAACTAAATAGAAGCATAGCTAAAAGTTATAATTCTTATCTTATTCTTATATGTTTTTATTCGCTCTTTATAGCTTTAGACTCAAGAAATGTTTCTTTATCCAATTCCTAGAAACCTTTTGGTAAATGTAACAAATGTTTTAAAAAATGTTGGGGCTAACTGTGCTTTTTTTCTAATTCGATTCCCAATTTTTTGCAATTCTATCACATAAACATTTCCCTCTAAAACAATTCATTGTTGATCATAAAACAATTTGCCCAGTACAAGTACTTGATTGAGCTTAATAACCATTCACTCCTTCGATTAGGCTTACAATCTAAGCAAACAATTCAGATAAGTGCCACCCCGAAAACCCGCCCCATTGTTACCCCTAGAAAAACATCAAGTAGCCGTCGGTGTTTAGTGCTCAATCAACCCCATTAGCGGCTCCATTACGCGACTCTCCCACCATTATCCTGGACTTCCTTCCTTCCCTTCGTTTGAGCAAACTTCCTGAAAGGTAACCAAAAATTTGACCAACAATTGTTGGCCCCCATCAACGCCTCTCTAAAGCCTTGTCCGCCTAATTGCTGTTGACAGTTGACAGTTGCTCCTGGTCAGTCCGGCCAGAAACAATGCATACTACCAACCCAAAAATCGAATAATATTTTCATTGTCGTTTCGGCCACAAAGAGCGAGTAACCAAAAAAACACAAAAAACCCACGAAAAAGGGAGACAAACAGCCAGGCAGCCCAACGATAAGTAAACAGCTAACAACAGGCAACCCACACACGCATTCCAAAATTAACGGACCACGAACTGTTACCAAAAAAATAATAAGAATTAAATAAGGAAGGGAGAACCCTAAAATAACAGGCAACACCGAACCGAAAAAAAAACATGGCCAGAACAGAAGAAAGACCAAGAACCAATTCGGCCCAAAATGGTTGCGTTGGAAATTGGGAAAAAAGGCAGGGGGAATTCGTTTTGTAACCAATCGTAAGAATAACAAAGCATTTTGTGGAGAGACCAACTGTTCCATCGGCTGTGTTTATTCTAATTTTTGAACCCGACTCAAGTGCCCCAGCAAAGGTCGTCGTCGTAGTCGTCACACCACTTGAATCTCTCTCTCCGACCTGGACTTTCCTACTCTTTCGACCAGGTTGCGCCCTCTTTTTGGCCCTCAAATTCATTTCGGGTTTTCGTTTTGGCTTTATCTAGATGTTTGCCCACGTTTTGGGACGGGGGTTTTCCTCTTCGTGGAACTCGAGTCGATGTTAAGTAGTCATTTTCTGATAATGTTCAGAGTCCCCCAACCACTCTTGACTCTGGATTTCCCGAGAATTTCCAATGCAAATATTTGGCCGCCATCAATATTTGAGCAGGAATCAATTGTCTTGTGAGTCAATTCAATTGTAAGCGATATAGTTGAGGGGAACTTTGATTTTAGTCTATGTTTAGGTTGGATATCTCGGAGCTGTCATAACTGATCATCAATTAAGAGGAGTCGGGGGTATTCGTTCATTTATTGCAATATTTTTCAGCTTCAGCTGCTGCTGCCGTTTCCGTCAGTCGATCTTTTCAGAGATCACGTTTTTATGATTATGATTAATGATTTGCACTCAGCTTGACTGACTCTAGTTACTGTCCAGTCTCTGATCTCTCCGCTGATCTCCCGAACTGGGTCTCCCACAGGAAAGTGCTACTGTTTGGCCTGATCCTTGTTTACCTTCTTCGTTTTCTATTTTTGTTCCCCAGGAGATTTTTGGGCAAACCTTTAGTAAGAAAATTGATCACACTCTGGGGAATATAGGGAAATGAGTTAGGGTGGGAGAAGATAAACATAGAGTCAGCGTTTCTATTCAAATAATCAAAATATTTTTGTATATTTTCCACGCTGTAATAGAAAGACAAAGATCATTACTCTGGGGTAAACTATACTCCAAGGGGAATGTAATTCGTTTATTAGAAATATTTTGAGCAATCAAAAGATAGAATCATGGTTTCAAATGATAATACTAAATTCTCCATGGAGAATAGTAAGGGTATTGGAGATCCCCATAGATCCAAACATAAATATTTTCAAATCATTCTTGAGATGCAATTCTTTGAACAAAGAAGCAAAGAATGTATTGAGAAAATAATTTATTTTACCTATGAGGAAGATTACAGGTCTAATAATAAGTTCTTTTACCGCATTTCGAAGCTCAGTTTATATAAAGATCTGATAGAATGTATAAATTAAATCACAAATATTATGGAACATTTCAAAGTTAACCAAGAACAAAGATCGAATTGTGACTATAAAAAGTATCTTTAAAATATCTCTCGTCTCATTAATTCTTTCCTTTCCCCTTTTCAGGTGAATATATTCGCTTGCCCCTGGATGAGTTGTTGAACGACGTACTCAAGCTCTCGGAATTCCCCCTCGAAGACGAGGTAAGTCCAGTGGCCCCCATTTAGCCAGGTGAAAATACCTAATGTATGCCCCATTCTCCTCTCCAATTCCATAGTTATCCAACGATCCGGTGGCCTCCACTTCGCAGGCAGCCGCTGCCTTGAACGAGAATCAAGCTCAACGGATTGTTTCCGAGACCGGTGAGGATTTCCTCAGTGTCGAAGGAGTGCCAAGCAAGCAGCGACGCATCGGCAACGAGGACAAGGACAGGGATCCAAATAGAGCCGACGGTGATAGCTTCTCGGTGAGCGACTTCGAGGACCTTCAGAATTCCGTGGGCTCGCCCCTGTTCGACTTAGATGAGGACGCCAAGAAGGAGCTAGACGAGATGTTGCAATCCACGGCTCCGCCTTACCACCACCCTCACCCCCACCACGGCCATCCCCATGCGCATCCGCATCCCCATAGCCACCATCATGCTACGATGCACCATGCCCATGCCCATCATGCGGCTGCTGCAGCTGCTGCCCACCAGCGAGCGGTGCAGCAGGCCAACTATGGCGGCGGCGTTGGAGTCGGTGTGGGCGTGGGCAGCGGCACGGGCAGCGCCTTTCAGCGGCAGCCAGCTGCCGGCGGATTCCATCATGGCCATCATCAGGTAAGTGTCTGTGTGTGTGTGTGTGTGTGTGCATTGATCGTAATCCTCCCCACCGAAAGGTATATATTTATTTATAATTTGATGCGGATGCTCGGTTCAAGTGCTGCCATCCGTCGAGCGCTCCACATACTTGCTTACACGACTGCACATGTACCTGGCCAACGGGTGTGCGAGTGTGTGTGTGTGTGTGTGTGTACACAGCTGCGGTCAAAATAATAGCAATTTCAAAAGAAAGAACAAAAATATTAATCTGTTATTGTAATTTATTTCAACTTGAAAGTAATATAATAATGGAAGATTACAATTTACCTAAATGAAGTACTGAAAACTCAACTTTTTATATCAATGAAACCAGAAATATTTCCATTCGTTTAATTGATATTTATTGATATTTTTGTATGATTTTTTTGTTTTGAACTAATCAAAGTTTAAAAATCGCATAACTAAGCCAAAAATGAATCAATTTTAATTCGGAAATCTTTCGTGTGTTAGTTTTTGGAAGGTTAATAAATCTGTATACTCTATTTATTATTTTAATAAATTCAAATTATTCTCAATTTTTGAAAATTTTAATTTAAAATTTTATAAAATTTTCAAAATTTTGCAAAAAATTAATTTTAGCCAAACATGGTTAGATAGACTCGCCTGTTGATGCTGTTCAAGAATATATATGATTTATAGGGTCGAAAATGACTCCTTTCCTGATTAAAATTATAATAACCTGTGCAAGGGTATGAAAATAGTTCTATAACTTACATAAGTTTTTAATTTTATGAAATGTAATTATTTTTAAAACCTTTTATATATATATTTTTAACTCACAAAGCTATTGTTTTGACCTGGCTTGTTAGGTGGTAGTGTCTATATACATATGTAATCATTCAAGGATCGTTTGCTCTTCGCTTTCGGTTATTCTTTAGCTGGTTTCATCTTCTCTGGGTTTTTGGAGTGCCTCTTTTCAGTCTTCGTTTTCTTCTCCTTCTCCCACTCCTTCTTCTGCTCTTTGTGGTGTTTCTTCCATTTCTTTTGGTTCTTCACGTGGCCCGGCTCCTTCCCCCGCTTCCATAGCCACCCCCTTTTGGGGGTTCTCGAGCACTTGATCTTGGGCCAGCTCTCCTCAAGAGGCGCTGTTGTTGCTCTTGTTGCCATGTTTGTTGTTTGTACAAAGCTTCAAATCTGGTTGTACACGCTCCTCGCCCCCCTCTCTCCCTGCCCCCTCGTGTTACCACGAAGCATCCGCTGTTATTCCGCTTCCAACCAGCTCAGAGTTCGTCAATCACAAGCTCCAGTCTCTGAGCCAGTCTTGGCTCTTCACTCGCTTTTTGGCCTTTTCTCGTCGGACGGATTCTTATTCTGTTTTATTTGTTGGCCTTTGTTGTAACTGCTCATCAGAAATGTACGAGAAAAGCAACAAAATTATGATTGCGAGCAGTGTTAAAATAATATAATGTATGGATACACACAGATGGGCTTCGGATTTTGTGGTCTCCCATCTTGGTTTCTGCTCTTCAATGTTTCTCTAAAGGCTTTTCTCAACCCGTTTCTCTCTCAATCTCAGCCTGTTTATTTAGCCGTTGTTTTCGTTATTTCTCAGCCAAGTTCTCGTTATTTTTTGTCTTTGGTATTTCTTGTTTTTTGAGTGAGTCAGAGTTAGGGAAGAAAGATGTGGTTCTTTATAGAAACAAAGTCTTACAAATAACTTCAATTAAAAGAACAAATTCTACGTTTACTATAGATCCCAAATATTTCATATTTATTTTGATGTTTCTGGAACTTAAAGGAAGCAAATCTTTAGGTTAATAGACCTAGGATTCATTTTAAGACTTGTCTTCCTTATAACTATATGTTATTATTACAATATGTTTGTAAAAATAAGCAAATCCCTGATCCTTTGCACCAGCAACTAGTCCAGTCTTTGTGGCCAATAAAATTAAGCCACCGAACAAGTGCTTCCTGAATGAAACCCAGACCGAAGTTTAACCTCTATCCTACCTGCCTGCCTCATCTTACCAAAAAAGAGATGGATGTACAGGTGACAAAAGAGAGAAAATACCGGGTCGAGGGTGAAACAGTCACAAAGTCACCGGCAATTACCGTAAAGTCTTTTCCACCGGTAGTCCAAGAGAGAAAGGAAAACCACATCGGCGGTCAACCTGAGTTGCTGGATTAGGCTTAGACCGCGTTTGATGTGGTCCGTCCTCCTTCTGTATTTCGGTTTCCCGGGTCAACCAGCGGGTTGCCGGCTCTCGGCACTCGGCACTCGGCCAAAGCCATTTAATGAGCCAGATGATCGGTTATTCGTTGGTTTTCTCGAGAACTTCTGTCGGCTAAGTCCTTTGCCGACTCTCTGGGGGGATTTTCCAAACGTCTAACTGTTAACGGTTAAACGGAAAGTGTCATTAGGCGGCTTTAAGCTTTTGTTTTTCCAGCAATCTCTCTCTCTCTCTTTTCCCTTTGATCCTAGTGCGAATAATCATTATGCAACTTCCTGATCACATTTAATATGCCATTTGCATTCATTGATGATGGCCCTTTGGCTGAAGCTACCTGTACTCAGGTTTCTCTATGTCTTTACACAGAGAGAAAACTTCGGTTAAAATGATTTGATTTAAGATAATAATAAAATAGGAAGCTAACAGTGTGTACATCCTTACAGATAGCTAGGATTCGTTCATACCTAATCCAAAAAATAATCTTAATTGGCTTTTATAAGGATACTAGGATATTCGGCTTTTAAATTAAACGTTTATACAATTATATACAATATTTTGGGGACATTTTCTAAGTTTTATTCTTTAATGATTTAAAGTTTGATTGCAAATCGAAATATATATAACTTTTGGTAATAATTATCTTTTTGGCCTTAGTATACATTCAAGAAAACCTAAAATATGAGTGATAAATGTATATTTTTATATGAAAATTTTTGAGGTAAATCCAAGTTTTTCAAATATCATAACTAAGCCAAAAATGAACCAATTTCAATTCGGATAACTTTTTTACCCTAGTTTTTTACGGGTTAAGAAGTCTACAAACTAATTTTTACCATTAAAAAAAATCAAAATTTTGTCAAATTTTGACAATTTTAACGATGTAACCCCTTATACAATATTGAAATTTCGAAAAAATTTCAAAAATGTATTTTTTTACCGGATATAGCTAGATCGACTAGATCGGCTTTTGATTCTGATCAAGAATATATATGAATTATAGGGTCGGAAATGACTTCACTGCGTCTTAAACTTTTGACTGAATTTATAATAACCTGCAAGGGTATACATATATTTTATATTATTAATATCTATATATATATAATTTTTTGTGTGTATCTTTCGCTAATTGCAATCACTAAGCTGAGCTCTCGAGGGAAAGATTGGAAAAGGGGGCTAGAGCGGGGTGTCTGTGGAAGGGAGGCGCCTGTGTTCATTACGGACACTTTATTGTTGATTTTTTGTTGTATTTTTTTTTATACTTTTTGTATTTTTTGCTTGGGTCTTTTGTTTTGTGTGTGTGTTTTTTCTCTCTGTCGCTTGCAATGCGCCACTTGACTTTTCCGCATGGGGCCAAAGTGTTTATTGAATTCGGTGGCACTTTGCCGCACTGACCCCCCTGCATCCCCCCTGCCCCATCGACTTGATTGCATCTTTTGAGCCGCTCGCCGCTCGGCGCTCGGCGGTAGCCCCTGCAATTAAATCCCCATTTAGCGCGCGCGAATTACAAAAAAATTTATCTCTTAATGTCCGTACCCCCGGCCCGCGCCTGCACCTCCTAATCGTCACCCTGCACGGCTTTAATTATGTGAATTTTAAATATTTGCAAAAAGCTTAACGCTAAAAAATCAGCGCAGCGCAGAGCAGAGAGAGAGAAAAAACTTTATTAATTATTTTTACAGCATCTCTGTGTTTTGCTTTTGTTGTTTTTTTTCTTGGCTATAGTTTTTTTCCCGCCGGATTTTTTCGCTGTACGATTTTAATTCAATTTATGTAAACAGTTGCGGAGGCTCAAGTTGAGACTCGAGCTGAGAGGAGGAGACTGCTGCTGTCATGGGACTCGATTTGTGCACACACATAAATCAAGTTAATGACAAAAAAAACACTCACAACTATATATATGTACATCTGAGGTGCGATGGTGGTATTAAGCCAAATAATAGACCAAGATCTCTGACGTCTTTGGCTAATATCGGTGATTCCCGATTTGCCATTGATGGATTGAGGATTTCGTGGAAATATGCTCTAACAAATGTAGAAAATAATGAGATTGTTGAACGTGCTTGCAAGCATTAAATTGAGCAAATCAAAATAAATATATTTTAATTAAAAGATCTTGTAGGTGGTAATAATATACAAATTACTCAGGCTTGAATGCCTTTTAAACTACATGAAAATATTGCTATCTACCTAGAATTAGACTCTTTTTCAAAGTGTTTGAAAGTCAGCGATATTTTAGGATCCTAACTATAGTTTAATATGAAGCTATGATACAAATATCTATGCAATATAGCAAACATATTTTAGATAAATTTAATAACCAGTAAAGATTAAATACCCAAAAGTATCAATGAGAATCAAAAGCACCTTAGAATTCCTATCAAGTTCTAGCGGAACTCGCGTGACCAAAACCCTAAATGGGATTGGTAGTATGAAAGCATTATCAAATGATAGTAATTCCCCGGATCAAAAATGCAATCTAATGTACTTTTTCTGCTCTACCTCCATTTCCGCCCCTTTTTGTAACGGTTGAGGTTGAATTAAAGATTCCGGAGAATAGATTCAACAGATTCTACACTCACTCCGCTTCAGAGTGATCGAAGGAGATCGGCTACCGTGTCTAAGTTGGCGGTTGGATTTGGATTTGTTTGCGTGTGAAGCGTAGCAAACAATGGCCAACACCAGAAGTTAATGACAAGACAGTGACAATTCAAATTACACATGCGCGGTGCGCGCACTCACAGATACATACTCACAGATACACAGATACAAAGATACACAGACACAGATGCCGGGTCTGGGCCACTGCAACTGGCTGAAGTGAACGCCCAATGCTCGTATGCGGTTCCTACCTGCTGCTTACCTGTTTTGCGCTCAGGAGCGTGTTCAGGCATTCATTAGATACACACACACATGCACACACACTCTCGAATACAGGTTGTGTGCATCCCCGGCTACTGTCATTCCGTCCGTCCGTCATTCAGTCAGTTAGCCAAGTCAGTCAGCAGTTGGTGCTGGTCAAACGACAACTCAACGTCAACGCGCAAAGGAGTTCGATCGCTGGCCAAGAAGATTCAGATATTCGTTTTGTCGGAATTTTGTTTCATTTCATTTCATTTCATTTTTGTGGCTCCAACGATCCGTATCTGCAATGTCAGTGTCAAAGTGCATCAGCGTCAACGTCAGGCCGATATATCAGATCTCTGAAAGATCTTAATTGCACGCAGCACCGGCATTTAGCATTAAAAACAAATTTGTTTGCTTTGCCGCCTTCGAAAAGAGGCATTGAGAAAGGATCAAAGATCTGAGAAGATTGAGGATACCAGATCGACAGTTCAAGAATATTTTACGAGAGTGAGTGTGCCTTTGAATTGGGGGGAGTAGGAAAATAACTTTGCAATTCGCCCACGCCGAGACTCTGGAATTAGTTGAGTAAATAAATAAAGCCATCGATAATTAACAATAACAAAAGAGGGCCTAATGAAGTCGTAGTCTCACGATCCGGCCGATCAGTCAGGCCCCAAGACGACTTACAGCTCTTTACAGAAGGCATCGTTGGTGGAGTTTGGGAAAACAAAGTCTGGCCAAGACCACTGGCTGGGCTTCAAGATTCCAACTCTGGCAGCCACAATCTCCGGACACTCCAACTCCCCAGCACTTGTCAATTTGAAAGATACGAATTTCATTTCGATTCCAACACACCGCGTTGATCGATCTGGCAGTCAAATCGCCAGACTGATACATTGTGCACGTTTTTGGCTTACAGAGAGACTCGGCGGTGCTCTGACAGCCAAGGGGGAGATATTGTTACTTGTAGCGCAATTTGAATTCAGTTTATTGTCCGTCTGTCCGTCTGTCTGACTGACTGAATGTGTGGTGTGTGTGTGTTATTTTAGGATCTCGGCGGTTTCTAGAGAATTCCCTGGCTGCGATGATTGATCGCTTATTGAGTTATAAGTTTCGTAATTCCAGCGACTATCGAGGCGAACCCTTCTCACCTTGTTAATACATCAACAGCTAAGCGACGAGCGCCGAATTAATCAATGTCTCCTCTTATTCCCTTGCAGGGCCGCATGCCGCGCCTGAATCGCAGCGTTTCCATGGAGCGTCTTCAGGACTTTGCCACCTACTTCAGCCCCATTCCCAGCATGGTGGGCGGAGTGTCGGAGATGTCGCCGTATCCGCATCACTATCCGGGTTACTCTTACCAGGCGAGTCCCTCCAACGGTGGTAATCCGTCGGCTCCCGGCCAGCATGGTCAGTACGGTGGAGGAGCAGCTGGTGCCGCCCTGCAGCCACCGCCACCACCACCACCGCCGCATCATGCGGCCATGCTGCATCATCCGAATGCCGCCTTGGGCGACATCTGCCCCACGGGACAGCCCCACTATGGACACAATCTGGGATCGGCGGTGACCTCCAGCATGCATCTGACCAACTCGAGTCATGAGGCCGATGGCGCTGCTGCTGCTGCTGCCGCCTATAAGGTGGAACATGATCTTATGTACTACGGGGTGAGTGTTCTTAATGGAGAATCCTTTTGTATAAGGATACAACTTATAGTCAATATATCCTTATTTTCTAGAACACCTCCTCGGACATGAACCAGGCGGATGGCTTCATGAACTCCATTTTCACCGATGAAGATTTGCACTTGATGGACATGAATGAGAGTGAGTAATCAAAGCATTTATTATCAAACTTATTAAAATATAATTTATAAGAAAAGTTACAATGATTTAAAATAAGAAAAGAAAATAACTTCGGATATCCGAATATCGGATATATCGGATATCGGATATCGTCAATAATCCCTGCAGGATTGAATTATAGAATTTTATCGGAAATCGATCATTATTAAGCATAAAATATTCGCATTAGTTAAATATTTATCTATGAGTTTTTTGACCAATCAAAGTTTAAAAATCGCATTATCGCAAAAACTGATAAATTTTAGTTCGGAAAGCCATCTTATGTTAGTTTTTATTAGGTTTTTAAATTTGCTTACTCAATATAACATTTAAAAATTCAAATTTTTTCACAATTTTAAAATTTTGGAAATTTTTGAAAAAATTAAATATGGCTAGATCGATTCATCTGTTGACGCTGATCAAGAATTTATATGATTTAAAGGGTGGGAAATGACACCCTCACTGATTTACAAGCTTCTGACTAAAATTAAAAGACCCTGCAAGGGTATACTAAATTAAAAGTATTTAGAAATTCAAAGAAAAGAAAACACCTTTATTAAATTTATTTATTTAAACCTTGATCAATATCTACAAGTAAAATTCCGTATATTTAAAGAAGCCCCTCAATTTGTCTCAGTGCAAAGCTTTCGGTTTGCCAAAAAGTTTATATTTATTTAGGCAGAAAGCTTTGGTAAGTTAAGCAGATGGCGCATCGTCAGACAGTTCTCCCCCACCCACTCACTCATCCACTCAGCCAGCACAGCAAGCTTTCACTCAAAGCCAACGACTCAGGACAGATAAATCACTCGCGCACACTCACCACCGAGTTGAGCTGCTATAGGGTGAGCTTTTTGTACTGTTGCTTTATCGTTTTGCCCGCGACTCTTGACGTTCTTTCGTGATTAGCATACAGATTTCGTACAATTAGTTCACCGCTCGCTGGGCAAGCTTGGTGCGGCAATGAGGGATGAGGCGGCGGGCTCTAAGCGCTCAGGTTTCGCGCTGCTCGCGCTCACTGCTGAAAAGTAACTCACTCGCTCGCGAGCCAAAGCAAAGCGAAAAGAACGGAGCGCGAGTCGAGGGCAAATCAGTCGAACACGAACAATCGAATACGATAGTAAAGTAAATATTAGAACCGACGCGACTCGATACGTACATACATATATGTGAACATATCGCCAAATAATAACCCACCGAACCGAACCGATCCGATTGATGGCGTAGCGGTACAACGTGTCGTATACTTGATGCAATTAGCATAAACGCCTTAATAAAACTATGACGCATTTGGCATAAGTGAAGAATCCAGCTCTCCCTCTCTGCATGTGTGTGCGTGAATTTAGAATTTAGAGAGAGATATGTACATATATTTATAAAGCATCCCATAAAAGGTGTACGCACTCATACGGAATTCAACAGGTGAGAGTGAGCAAAAATAGAAAAAACTGGATCACATAGAAGAGTAGAAGCGGGGTGGTTTTATTTTCGGTTTCCAACCCCCTCGGAAATCACTGAAATAAGAAAGAATGAGTGAAAGAAAGCCCTGTAGAATTGTGTGCGAACGCGTAACGATTTTTTCATTAGTCATGCCGCACGGCGATCTTTGTTGTTGTTGTTGTTGCTGTTATTGTTGTTTCTGCTGCTGATATCAGCACAATGTTCTGCTCTCTCGAGTGATTCTCTTTGGGCTCCCACTCTGTCTCTCTCTCTCTCTACCGCCCTCTGGCTCTATCACTACCTAATGCCCGTTCAGCAAGTTTTTTTTCTTCTTTTTTTATTTTTTTTTTGCCCGCCTGTTTGCTGTTTACTATTTTTAAACTGCTGAGTCATCCTTTTCGAAACAATAACGTTAAGCGAAAAAGAGAGATAAAAAAACCAAGAAATAGAAAAAGCTCCAAGATCATAACGAATGAAAAGTTTGCCAATTCTAAAATTCCAAAAAGGGTTGATAATAGTAACAGATTCATTAGTGTAACGTAACGTAAGTGGGTTACGTGTTTACGTGTCCATATTATTTCAGTTCAGAAACAAAAGACGTTCTCAATTCGAAATCTTCTTTCTCATCTTTTAATGTTTTGTTCTGTACTTTTTTTTTTGGCTCATCATAAAACGTGTCATTCTGGCCTTAACTGTTATCTTTATGGTTTCCGTTATGTCTTGCGTTCAATGTGCCGCTGATAACTCTCGCATTTACGTAGTACGTACTGTACAGTATACAAAGTATCGCATTTTGTCAAGTCATCAATGTTTATGATTTTAAGCTTTGACCTTGTCGACAGCGGGCACGAATACGAGCGAGAGTATGAATACACCAGCTTACTTACTAACTTGCTTGCTTGAATTGATTTGACTAATTAAATGCAGGAGCGCATTAATAATAATAATAATGTCTCAGATTGCACAAGCTCAAAGATTGCGCCGTTCTGGACACTCATCTTAGTCGTTGAGATAAGACAAACCCCTGGTGGTTGGGTGGGCGTTGGACCTATGTATATACATATGTAATATATCGTAAGATGTGGTAATGTGACCAGGTATTTGCGAAATAGCGTTTAAACAGTTGAGCGGGAGAGAAGCACACGAGTTATCAGCGCTCATGGTTGCCGCCTTATCGCCCGATAAGATAAGTCCCTGCTGAAATATGGAAAAATGACTGCACACTTTTTTCGTCTGAATTTGTCGAAACAGCAGTCATAAATTTGTGCTGAATAATCGAAGCTGCAAAATGAACGAATGATTCAAGACCACGATAAGCTCAAATCTCTAAAAAAAATTCTGTCTACGTGAACTGGGTCAGTACCCAAAATAACAGAAAAGAACTAGTTGCAATTGTGTTTAGTTAATTAATTATTATGCAACATTTACAGACTAATGATAACTTAACAGTGATTAACCAGTGAATAATGCAGCATTATTAAAAATATTTAAAAGTGGTCTAGATGACCAGGGAAGTTTTCATAATATTGACCGCTTCAAATACTTTAAATAGTAGTTTGTTGCATTATTATTAGTAAGCTAACTATATATAGATTATCAAAAGTTAAAAACTAACTTGAGTGCTTTTTTTGGCATATGCTTTCAATGCAACAAATACGCCATCTTAATTGTGAATGAGCAACATTAATGAATCGGCATTTTTTATTTTTTAATCGATATACGATATAATATTTAAATGAATCGATATTGAGCTTTAACATCTGATCTTGTCGATCTACATAACGATCTTAATTATTTCCTTAATTTAAAATGAGAGAAGTTATACTAAACTCTATGATTTCTCTTGCAGGCTTCTGTCGCATGGTGGACAATAGCACCAGCAACAACTCCTCGGTCTTGGGTCTGCCCAGTAGCGGACATGTCAGCAACGGATCTGGCAGCTCTGCTCAACTGGCGGCGGGACATCCGCACGGCAACCAAGCCAACGGAGCAGCCGGCGGCGTGGGCCCAATGAGCGGCTCGGTGGGCACCGGAACAGCGGGCATGACCACCGATCTACTGGCCAGCGGCGGTGCAGGTGCGCAGGGCGGCGCAGATCGCTTGGACGCCTCCAGCGACAGTGCTGTCAGTTCGATGGGTTCGGAGCGTGTGCCGTCCCTCTCCGACGGCGAATGGGGCGAGGGCAGTGACTCGGCCCAGGACTATCATCACGGCAAATACGGCGGCCCCTATGACTTTAGCTACAACAATAACTCGCGGCTTACCGCCGCCACACGTCAGCCACCGGTGGCGCAAAAGAAGCACCAGTTGTACGGCAAGCGGGACCCACACAAGCAAACGCCGTCCGCTCTGCCGCCATCGGCTCCTCCGGCAACAGCGACCGCTGCCCAGCCGCAGAGCATCAAGTATGAGTACGATGCCGGCTATGCTTCCTCGGGAATGGCCAGCGGCGGCATCAGTGAGCCAGGAGCCATGGGACCGGCTCTGTCCAAGGATTACAATCATCACCAGGCCTACGGCATGGGAGCCAGCAGTAGCGGCTTCCCTGGTGACTACACGGTGCGACCTACGCCGAGAACTTCACAGGATCTAGTGCAGCTTAATCACACCTACTCGCTGCCCCAGGGCAGTGGCTCCCTCCCCAGACCCCAGGCACGCGACAAGAAGACGGTGGTGGCCAACAAGACCGCAACGAAGGGAACGAATGCCTGCAGCTCCAGCAGCAGTGCTGGCGGCAACAGCAGCAGCACCATGGAGGACGAACACCTGACACGCGACGAGAAGCGCGCCCGATCCCTGAACATACCGATTCCGGTGCAGGACATCATCAACCTGCCCATGGACGAGTTCAACGAGCGGCTGTCCAAGTACGACCTTAGCGAGAACCAATTGTCGCTGATCCGCGACATTCGTCGGCGGGGAAAGAACAAGGTTGCCGCTCAGAACTGTCGCAAACGCAAGCTGGACCAGATCCTGACTCTCGAGGATGAGGTGAACGCTGTGGTTAAGCGCAAGACGCAGTTGAATGCGGATCGCGATCATTTGGAAAGCGAGCGCAAGCGTATCTCGAACAAGTTTGCATTGTTGCATCGTCATGTGTTCCAGGTGGGTTAAACTCTACAAAGATAAGAGCTTTAAACACTCATGAGAATCCAAACTAATTGTTTTATATTTACCTTGCAGTATCTGCGCGATCCTGAGGGAAATCCCTGCTCGCCAACGGAATACAGTCTGCAGCAGGCTTCCGATGGATCGGTTTACCTGTTGCCCCGGGACAAGTCCGAGAGCAATAGCACGGCCACAGCTGCCTCGAGTGCTGTGTCGTCTGCCGGCGGCCTAAGCTTGAATGGCCACGGGCCATCCCAGCCGTCCATGCATGGCCACCATGGCCAGCACGGAATGCAGGCGCAACATGTGGGCGGTGGCCTGTCCCATCAGCAGCAGCAGTCGAGGCTGCCACCACACCTGCAGCAGCAGCAGCAGCAGCACCATTTGCAGTCGCAGCAGCAGCAGCCAGGAGGACAGCAGCAGCAGCAGCATCGCAAGGAATGAAAGTATCTGTTGCGAATTGCCGCAACAAAGAGTTGGTTCACTAGCTTCCAGCGCGAGCAGCAGCATCGATCCGAGCAACAGCAGCAGCAGCAACAGTTTGACTACCGCTACGACTTGTTCAACAATAGCTACCTGTACTACTGAGTGGCAACTCAATTCGCTGTTGCAACGTTTTTGCTGGCAACATTCGTTGCAACTGCTGCTGCTTCCGGCCGTTTTGGAGCTGCCTCATTTGTCGTATCATCCCTAGCCCCCATCAATGATTTACTTATTTAGTCAGCTTGATTGTTATTTATTTTTTAATTAATTAACTAGTTGGACTCGTCCAGAGTCTGGCATGCGAGTCGCATACAGCCCTTTACTTAATTTCAATTTACTAAAAACATTACTTGTGATAAATCCGCTCTTCAACTAAGAACTCTATAAAGCCTAAAAAACGCAAGCAGACAAACGATAGAACCGAACACAACAGAGGAACGAATGTAATCAAAAATGTTTGAAATAAATTTGTAAATCGGTAAACAACTCTCACACTCACTACACACTCCATTCACAATCAAAGCTCGCCCATTTCTTATTAATGCGTCGTCCAACAATATTTGATGGCGAAGCGGGTTAAAAAATCTATAATACTAGAATGTAAAATATGAAATCACAGAGATAATTGTAAAAAATAGTGAATAGGACACATGTACACACACAAATCAATTGTAAAGGTTGCAGAATATTGCTGGACAGTTCATGAAATACACTCGTAAGACACCTAGCAGTAAGCCTAGCCTAGTATGCTATCATCTAGTGAGAGATCTACCATTAGGCATTTATCACAAAATCACATAAACAAAGCAAACATAACACAAACTAGCGTAGCACGTAGCGTCTGTAAATACATAAATTAAAGTTAGATAACCAGTAACCCCAAGCTCTAGGCTAGAAAGCAACTAAGAGAGAGTGCTAACCACACCTCAAGGAAACTCAAGAAAACACAAAAAATACAATAAAAGTAAAAAGTAAAAAAAAAAATATGGAAGAAACGGAAACAAAACAAAAACGGAAACAATTGCCCGCGCTAGGGCAGCCCCATTCAGTGTCCTGGAGCGGGTTAGTCGATAAGCTATTAAGAGATATTAATATTTAATATTCTTAAACATGTCCTACAGCATAAAGAGTTTAACACTAGGCTAAGCTACAGCTATGCGAAATGATTATACATGCATATATACGATATCAACTTAAACAGATCCGCTACGAAAACGAAATGAAAATCTATTGTTAATATAGGCATATGTATTTTAATTGTTGTAATGAATTTCACGCCCTTTGAGAGTCGATTGTCATCGCATTCGGAGCTCGCACGAGTCGGAAACGAAAGATATGAAATTCAATAAAAGCGAAATTATTTGTTGTAAATGAAAATTTAAACTAATTACCTATTGTACTATTGTATTGTACCACTACGCCCTTGGACCTAAAATACATTATAAATTCCCTTCGCGTAAATCCCCGTAACATAAATTATGTGAGACGAGTGCCCGCAGTCCTTGAATTACTACAACTACTACTAGCTTGCAAGGACCGGCGAGCACTTGTCGACCAATCGACCCTCTACTTGTATGTTGCTATATATATTTATGTATGTTTCATATGAGAAATTTGTATGCTTTAAACGATGATAAACTTTTCCTCAGCTAAAGAAAAAGAAAGCGTCAAAATTAAAGAAAAACCACTAAAAAAATAAGTAATATGTGTTTTTAATTTGCAGAAAAACGCCCAATTTCGAGTGGCGGGAACGCATCATTTTAAATTCAAATTTAAATCGACTATCAGTTCCCGCCATATCAGTTAACCGTCAAATTTGAATTTGAATTGTACAAGAAGATCAGTGGCCGCAATCCAAATTAACCGCCAAATTTGAATTTGAATTGCCGCCCAATATGTTAAAATAAAAAAAAAAATTGTTTTGTAAATTGTTGTTGTTGTAAAATAATTGTTGTTGTTGTTGTAGACCATGCCGCGGCTTCAGTTTGCCCGATTTCAGTACAAAATCGTTCATTTTTGGGTTTCAGGTACCAGGCGAACAGAAAGCAGCAGCAAGCAACTGAATTTTTGACGGACAAGAGCTGCCAGATCGACGGCATATGCGATCGATGTGGCAGCACTTGGCAGACAAGCGTTACCGGACCGATGGTATATGCTATCGATCTGGCAACGCTCAACTGTCTAGTGTTACCGGATCGATCGCATATGCCATCGATCTGGCAGCCCTTGCCCGTCAAAAATTTAGTTGCTTGCTGCTGCTTTCTGTTCGCCTGGTACCTCAAACCCAAAAATGAACGATTTTGTACTGAAATCGGGCAAACTGAAGCCGCGGCATGGTCTACAACAACAACAACTATTATTTTACAACAACAACAACAATTTTTTTACAACAACAACAATTTACAAAAACAACAACAATTTTTTTTATTAACATATTGGTCGCCAAATTCAAATTCAAATTTGGCGGTTAATTTGCATTGCGGCAACTGATCTTCTTGTGCAATTCAAATTCAGATTTGACGGTTAACTGATATGGCGGGAACTGATAGTCTATTTAAATTCAAATTCAAGTTTGGCAGTTTATTTGTATGGCGCCAACTAATCGGCTATTTAAATTCAAATTTGCGAAAAGTGATTTACCCTTAAAATTAGCAAATAAAAATGATGGCAATTTCCCAGCAACCGGGAAAAACTCAAATTAAACAAACAATGGATTTAATTCTGTTTTCATCTGTAGGTATATTCTCCGTCTTTCAATTTCACAATCTTGGTGTCGCTTATAAGTAAAATACATCAATCAAACATTCACATACTCATACAATTTTATTGTCCACTCATTACTAGAATTGAAGCTCGTGTGTTTTTGAAACAGTTTTATTGAATATATAAAATTCCATTATCTAGCTTGTTGGAGTAACAACTATTATCGGGTAAAAGGGAATTTACAATTCCGTGGCGTCCTCGCATAATATTTCAAATATATATTCATATTCACACACATATCGATTCGGTGAGCGTTTTACAAACATTTCTCTAGAAGGTCTAAGCTTACGAGGAAGTTGCAGCATTTTGGTTTCTGTGTCTCTCACATCTTACTTTGCGGTAATATCAATTTGTAACTTAGCTATATAGTAAATTCAATACGAGTAAAGCTAACAACTTGTGTGAATCATTCATTCTTAATTCATCGGCTTAGCCTAGACATATAATAGTTTTACTAAGGGATAGTTTAGGGGTGGGTAACAATCAGATTGCCTCCACTTCAGCATCGGGGTTGTGGGAAGGAGGAAGGGACTTTTCACGTGTTTCACAGCTGCAGCAGCTCTATGGCTATGACAGATGAGCTCCATGGAATCTCGCTTAGCTTAGTTTGAGTTAGAATTGTAGTGGGAGCGCCTATGCTTAACTAGAATACAACATCAGTTAACTGATGACGGCCAGGGCAGCGGACAGAGCACCGGCATCCTTGCGCCTCTCAATTAACAATATCAACAAATGGAATCGATGGGCAGCTGATCCTGCTTGATGCTCAGCCGACGAGGATTCGACTGCTTCTGGCGGCCACCTCCGCCTCCATTGCCAGCGCCAGAGACAATGGTGATACCGCCTCCGGGTCCGCTGGCAGAACTTCCTCCGCCTCCTCCGGTCAGCGTGCTAAGGCTGTTGTTGTTGCTGTAGTTGCTGCTGTTTATGGAATTACCGGAGTTGGTCTTCTCGTTAATACTGGACAGGTTGGGTATACTGGGCGCTGTCGTCGTAATGGTCAGTCCGCCCATGGTGAACGAGGCGCCGTGCTTGTTGTTATTCAGCGGCTCCAGCTCGCTGGCCAGCACGCCGTTGGGAATGGAATGGGAGCGTATCTGCAGGCGACCCGAATCCAGCGACTCATCACTGGCCGGATCCAGGTGATCCACCGAGGCTGCTGAAGCGATCCGCTGGAATAAGCTCGCCGAGAGTGTGCGATCCGCGAAGGGAGCATTGACTCCCAGGCCGGTACAGCTCTTGGCGCTCTTCGTGTACTCCGACTTGAGCTCGTCCAGTTGCTTGGCACTGCACAGCGGCGTGTCCACATCGTAGGTGTTGTTGAAGAGCGTGTAGTCCACCTCGTATTCGCCGGTCTCCTTGCGGAAGGAAACCACATTCACGAAGCGGTGGCCCCACAGCACCTCCGAGGGCAGATAGCTGCTCCTGGCCTGCGTGGTCATGCCGGTGGACTCGATGACACCCTCTGAAATAGGATACCAATTAGTTTACATTATCGGGAACTTTGAGATATCTTAACTCACCCAACATAACCACCACTTCGAAGCGCTCCTTCAGCATATCCGAGGCGGAGAGCATGTACAGCGGACTATTACGATCAATTTTGTGCACTATCGTCGTCGGCCAGATGAACATCAAACGATCCTCTCCTCCATCGGCGCCCACATGCAGCTCCTGCTGATAGAAGGGCAGCACCTCGCCCTCCTTCGTCACCTTCTTGCGAATGATCTGGGCCCGGACATGAGCCTCGATGATGTGGGACTTGCGCATATCTCCCACGCGGAACATCAGACATGGAACTCCATCCCTGTGGCAGATCACCGCATTCCTTGAGAAGAGCAGCGTCTGGGCGCGCTTCTTGGGACGCGACAGCTTGGCAAACACAATGCCCACCATGAAGGCCTGGATGAAGACACCTGTGATGCACTGGATGCACATGGTGAAGATGGCCTCTGGACACTCCTCCGTAACGTAACGGTTGCCGTAACCTATCGTTGTTTGCGTCTCAATGGAATACAAGAAGGCGGTCATCATGCTCTTCACTTGTGTCACACACACCGTATGCGTCATATTGGCCACCAATTCGGGTGATTTATCCTCCAAAAGGATATACTCCAGATCATTGTGTGCGTAGGCAATGATCCACCAAATAAAAGCAAAGAAGGCCCAAGAGATGACAAAGCTGGCGGCAAAAACGAGCAGCGTCCAGCGCCACTGAGCATCCACCAGGGTCGTAAAGATGTCCTGGAAAATAAATAGAAGATGAAGGTCAGTTATTGTATAGAGAAAATTATAAGGAATTATTATCTATAGCTTTTATCTTTTGCAGACATTTCTACACAACAAGTTCCCAAGCTTAAGGCACAGGATTCTTTACCAAGAAGACAAATCAATTTACATAATTGCACAACAAAGTATCGCGTTGAGAGTTACGCAAACGGAAGAGCGCGAGTGGGAAACCTAAATATAAATCCGTATCCGACGAACCAGATATAGATATATGTACATATGCATATAGCCACGCACTGCCACTCACCTGCAGATAGCGACGACGCCTCTTGGCCACATTGCCCTGCACAACGTTGCACTCGCCATGCTTGAAGACCACACGTTTTCGGACACGCCGCGAACTGAACCGTGTCTGCCGGTACCTGAAAGGTGAAAAAAAGATGCGAAGATTGACACATTAATACACCTGACACGCAAATAGATTCGATTTCTTAGCTAAGCGTTTTTGATTTGATTAGGGAATTTCGCTTTCAGCTGCGGGAAGTTTCTATTGTCTTGTAAGGATTTTATTTTACACAACGCGTTCATATAATAACTAAGCTAAATTTATGCACCTATTATTAGGAAGCAGTTTCTTACCTGAGTTGTACTTAAAAAGGCAACAACATATTTTGTTCTGATACAAATATTCTACCCTAAAACTCACAGATGATTATTTGTTATATATATGCCAAGGCATGGCCTGTAAATTTATATTTATAATGCTGAATATATTACAGTGAAATCTGTCCATATATATTTTGTATATATTTATCTCTGTTAAGGAAGACTTCCTTATTATCTATATATTCTGTTGTCGTATGTATTCATTTATAAGCAACAGAACTTTATGCAAAACTACGCTCACTTTTTGAATTAATGCTCTAAATACCTTCCAAAAAATAAGTGACAAAGTGCAATTTGATATAAATATTAAGCACAATTTCTCAAACCATAATTTACTAGTTTCGGAAACAGATTCCCTAAAACAATAAGAGGCAGCACAATGCAAACGAAAGCACACACAGATGCACATGTCAGGCGATTATGACCGGCCTTTGTCCATTGTGATAAAAAGATGGCCAATAACAGGAAGTCAGAGACACTGAGACACTGAGACACTGACGTTTTTCTCCACCGATAATACAACTATGGCCAAGTATATCTGATTAATTTACCAAATTATAGCTTGATGCAAAACGCACGAAATGCACACTAGGAACACTAGACCGATAAAAAACTGCATGTGGAGAGGGACTATCAATGCGGTGATACTACAAATACCAGGGATTCACATTCACCGCGATCACTGGAAACTTTGAGAGAAATTATCAATGGTTTTAGACCATTAAAAGCTAGGGTGTTAACGGCTCAGGGGTTGGATTAGTACTGAGGAGACAATCGAATGTCTTCGGAAGCTCCGTTCTGGATCAGCAGATGGAGAGAACAACAGCACGAGGCTGACTTTGGTTCACTTTTCCCTCACTTTTATATATGTATTTATAAGTTCATTTATATTTTAAATTCATTTCATTCACTTTACCCAGCTTTATCAGCTCGCCTTGCTGTGTGCACTGAAATTCCGCTAGAGAATGTGCAAAAGTCCCCTCTGGGGAACTGAGAAACTGAGAATTGAGCTTTAAATAAAATTAGCTCCAAGTCGGAGCTTGAGTCGAGTGGAAAAGGTGCTGATAAGAAGGAACTAATGGCAAAACGAAATCAAAATCAGCAATGGGAAAGCACTCGGAACAAATGAATTTGAAATGGCAATTAGGAAAGCATCAATCACTCTTATTTATTAAGCAAGTTCTCTCGATAATGTGCCAAAATATATGCACTTTAAATGAGTTAAATACATAAATGTTTGCTAGAAAGTTGGAACAAACAATGAGGGTCTTAGTTTAGTTGTTATTCGTTTCTAATTAGTTGATAACAAGTCTCATTAACTCAACCAAATAAGTCATATCAATTTGTATAATCTAAAGGTTATTTTCGATGGAAAATTTATTCAAAATTAAAGCAAAACATTTGTTTACGTTTCACAGAAATCTCTTAAAATCAAAATTTTGCTACAATGAAGAAGACTGAAAACTAACTTAGGAAAGAGAAATTTTATACACCCTTAAAGTTTGTAATTGATTTATAGGATTATACTGTAAATTGATCTTAACTAAGCTTAAAAAAGTTCAAATTCTTTGAATCTGTATTTATTTGATTTATATGATACAATTTTTTCTACAATCCAAATTTTAAAAATCTTATAACTCAGCCAAAACCTCATTAATTTTAATTCGGAAATCGTTCCTATGTTAGTTTTTATCGTGTTAACAAATCTGCATACTCAATTTACATTTATAAAAAATTAATTTTTTTTCCAATTTTTGACAATTTTAATGATGTAACCCCTTATAAAAATTTGAAATCTTAAACTCTTTCCGGACATGGCTAGAACGATTCTGCTGTTGATTCTGATCAAGAATATATATGCTTTATAGGGTCGGAAATGACTTCTTCACTGATTTATAAGCTTCTAACTGAAATTAAAATAACCTCCAAGGGTATAAATATAATATATGAAAACAGGTATAAGGGTATTAAAAGGTTAATAAAAATTTGTTTCCAAAACTTGAGTTTATCAAATACTTCTCCTCTGACACCATTTAATAATTCCCCAAACTATATTCCTATAGATTTCCTTAAAGACCCAACCTAGCAACAAACAAAGGCTCTTTCTTTGAATTTTAATAATCATACTTCAAAAGACCTCAGATAAGACAACAGATTTTTATCAATTCAGTTTTGCTTATAACTTGATGACCAAAAGAGAAACGATATTTTAGTATCTTACAAAAGACACTTGATGAATCATCGAACCTGGAGTAATACCTACATTCACATGAACACTGTACAACCTCATTAAAAAATAAATAATTTCGATAAAACACAAGTGTGAGGGAGAAATTCTGAGAATAATGATATCTCAATAAAATTCGTAGAAATCTCCGGGCGACAACCGGAGTGCCATTTTAGAGTTCATTAGTTTAAATCTGATGTTTGGCTCATGCAAATAAACCGGCTTAGCAGAGATTTAACCATTATTATTGTTATTGTTTATAAATGATTTTTATATTTTGTTGCTTTGCCAAATGCAATATTGTTACTGTTTTAGGGGGGAAACAAAACCGGTTGTAGGGGCAAAGTAAAAACAAGTTCAATGGAACGAGCCACACACTGGGAGTATCTATAATGCGTCAACTCCCTCTACATATAACGACATGATATCAGCTGATATTTTAGATTTTTAAAGATAGGAAAGCGAGCTAAAAATACACGTAATATTCAGAGGTTATCTAACCAATTGGAGGCCAGATAAGGTGCTCCTTGGGTTATGGCCTGCAATAAAAGCCCACAAAACAAAACTAACCTTCGACAAGATGAACTCGCCCAAAAGTGGAAGGCTGGAGGTGATCCCCACCTGCAATCACCTGGCTAATGGCCAACTAATGCAATTTGGGCCATCTGTTATTGGCCATCTCGATATTCCGGAGGTGCAAACAAGTTGACCATGGTCATGATCATAGTACCAACGAATCCCAGTTGACGTCATGGATTTTGAATGCTTTTATGGCCGAAAGGAAATTCATGGCGAAAGCTTTTTCCGCAAAAGTACTCTCTGTATATATTTACAAATATATTCAGTACATTAAAGCAGCAATTGCTGTCCATAAATCAAAGTGGAAATTGTGAAAAGAATAAAGCCAGACAGTTACAGCACGTTTCGTAAGTGACAGGCGTTGATATAGTAAAATAATTAAAACTGATATCTATAGGCTAGCCTTCCAATGATTCAATATTTTCCTATGTAATTCCTTTTAATTCCACAAATTACGATAAGTTAAATAAATATTTTAGATTTGTGAAACGTAGTGTACTTGCATATTTCCTCATTTCTTTGGCTTTTCCTTTGCCAAAATAAAAATGGCAAAAGTGAAAAGTGCAATTATGAATCTGAATATATATACATATATCCGCGATAAGTTGTGAAAAGGCCACTTGGTCACTCATCGAAACCGTGAACAGTTTTGGGCCAAAAACCAAAAGATTGGTAGAGAACAAAACATCCTTTCATGGGCCTTAGGTAAACTTTGAACCGAATGTTTTATATATATCTGGCATAGATATATATTTATTAACAGCGGTGAATGGAAATTGACTTTTCTGGCAAATATTTATGCCACATTCGATTAAACATTATAAAAATCCAAATGCGCAGATGCATATATATATATATATGTATATATATAATGTACACATAACCTATACTATATTTATGTCTATACAGTTGTGCACATAATTTTATGTATCTTGAGTTGGGTGTGAGTTCAGCTGTTTAAATAACCTTCAAGGGTGACTAGCTGCTCATTGCAAACAGTTATGAAACGTTGTCAAGTTATGAAAAACTGATCTTTGGACTGCAGAAAAACGATGCAAAATTGTCTGTTAAGAACTGGAATTGTGAATAGATTGGTAAAGAAATACAAAACAAGGAATGCTGCACTTAATATATTTCTTAAATTAAAGGTGTTAATTTGTATTAAGATCTTTAAGTTACATATCCAGGAAATCTACGAATTTCTTCAGTTGATTGACATATTCACCTACTTTTCAGAGTTGGTTCTTCTCCTAATTGATCTCTGATCATTTCAATTTCAATAAGAGATTTCACAGTCATTTAGTTCCTACTTATCAAAGATCAGTTAAACATTAAATTGACTCTCCAATTTCACGCTCACTTTGCTTGGCCACGTTTTAAGGTACTCAACCGATCGTCTTCGAAAAAAAGGCTAATCACTGATCGATGATCGATCTCTCTCTCCGTGATTGGGATTTACCTGAGGAGCTCTTCGCGCCACGACTGTTCGCTGGAATGGGTGGCTCTGTAGACGATCATGGACAGCCGGCTTAAACTGCGCCTCAGCTCAGACATGATAAGGCAGGTGATCGATGATCCTATAGATCAGCACTGGGATCACAAGAGGAGGAATACTGTTGGTTGCGATCAAGATCTATGCTTTTTTTATATTTATTATTGAACTGTTTTGCAAAACACACACAAATGTAAAAGAGTACGAAAACGTTTTCTTTTGTGGGCTAGTTTGTCATTGTTATAAAAATAAAGCACAGACAGTGTTTCATCAAAAGGCGTCGACGGGCCGAGCAGCCCAATAAATCACTCAACCGAGATCTTAGCATTTCGGGGGAGTTAATGAGAAAAAACTTTCAAATTGAGCCACTTTTCACTATGCCGGACACCCGGTTAATTAAGTTGTAAAGCGCGTATTAGAATGTCACGTCTTTTTGTTCTATTTTTCTGCTTTATTTTTTATATACACATATTGTTCGGTTGTGTGAACTGCGCGATCGAACAACTTTGTGCCAACTGTCGGCAAGCAAATTGAAATTCGCCCTCGTTGGCTGCAAACAAAAAATTCAGCACTCTGCGATCCCCTTCTCCCTATCCGGGCGTCGATATCTGTTGTGTACAATTGAATGTTAAACAATATAATTTGTTGTTATTCTACAGCCCGCCGCCTCCCTCATTTACTCATTTCACCTAATTACACATGCATGTATGGATGTGTGTGGCAGCGATATACGGCAGTTCCTATTTATCAGATACAAACGTGGCTATCTGTATTGGCATTTGCCTCATTAACGCCATTCAGACATGTCGCACCTGAGGATAATGAAAAATGTGCTCTAATAGGGAATTGAATCTAAAATTCTGGAGGTGATCTCTAGGTCTTTAGGTTTTTCTACGTCAATGATCTATTTTTCTTAGTTAGCCATTTAATTTTGAAACGCAGATAGCGACAGATATATGTATAAGGTATAATATATCTTTGTATTCCCACTGACTTATCCCCCTGAACCGGTTCGGGCTGCCTGGCACTTTGCTCGTTCAAAAATAGACCGAATTTTCCGCATGGTAAATACCAATAATAGCGATCGTGGCCCAAAAAGTTGAATGAACCAATTTGGGGTTATAGCCAGGAGTCAACTCTATTGACCCCCCCTCAGAGCCAGAAATGGCGCCTTCAGTGAGTTATATTTACCATATCTGAAGTGGGCACTGTAATCTATTCATAAAACCCACAAAGATTGCTGGCCATAAACCTCAACCAGGGAAGTACCTCTCAGAACCGTCTGAGCCAATAATGCCCATGAGTAATTTCTTACACGGAAAGTTTGCAAACAATTATAGACCCAAACAACAGCCACAGGTTATCAGGTTAAAATCCTGTGACGTCAAGGCTGTGACGCACCTGTCCGGGTAATCATAGCATTTGTAGTCAAGTGTTGATATCGGTGTAAAGATATACAGTCTTATGAAAAGGCAGCGATATGACCATAACTATGACTAAACATGTTTATTATTTAATTTATTTTTGGCTACTAACCAGTAGTAGTCATCAAGAGATTCCATGAAGCGAAGAGAAGATTGTAAAAGGCCAAGTGACTTTGCTACCACTTGGCTTCTGTGTGATGTTAAGTGAATTGAGATAGGCCAAAACCTTGTAGAACTTTCAAAAGTGTCACCGACTTGGCTAACACAAATATTCTTATGTTTATAATACCTCAAGAATACTACCTACTATAGCCTAGAGTTATAAACTAGAAAACTAGAAACTTAGCTGGTCTTCTTGGCATACTTTATGGTAATTAGAGAAAGACAAGTAAAGTACCTCAAACTAGTTTATGATTTCTTTAGCAAACACAAATGCTCCTAAGTAATTTAATATGAAAATTCAAATTCCTGATATGATATTTGATAATTTAACAGCAAATGAAAACTTTCTCCTTCATTCCCAAAATATCCCCTGTTAAATTTGAAATGAAAACATTTACTCCAAAGCCCCCTGAGATATTATTAGCTCCCAGGAGTCACGCTGTCATCGTGTGTCTTTTGGTAAACCAGAGCAAATAAATTGAGCAAGCAATTAGCACATCTATTTATCGTCGATATTTTTTGTGAAGATATTTGCCGACGTTGGCGTCTAGTAAGTTTCCACCTTGAATTGCGAACTCAATTAGTGTGTAAATAAAGAAATTAAGCTCTCTTTTCTTTCACCATTCATGGCAAATACCAAACAGATGTATCAGTTTAAATATTAGCGAAATAAATGTGAAACAGCGGATATTTGCAGATGAAGTTATCGGTGAAATGTTCGATATTAACTGGAAAAGTATCTGCCAACAAGCGCGACAGGTTTTTTGGTATCTGTCGTGATCGTGAGTCACCTGGCTTATGGAAAGATATATTCGGGGCTTTGAAGCCAAGCCTCAGCCTCGATTTGAGGTGCTAATGAAGGCAGTAGTATACCTTATCATTTGCAATTCAGTTTATCTGCCGCAATCGTGGCCTGCGACACTTGTAAATAATGCCGGCAAGAGGAGGAAGGAGCACACACGCACGAGAGATAAACCTGGCAAATATTATGGCCATGTGACAACGGGCCAACTTGTCAGCAGGTCTTGGCAAAAAGAGGTTGCTCAAGAAATGCCAAAAGCCAGGGGCGGCAGGGAAAGTCATTTACCTAGAAGCGGTGGGCATGCGCCGCTTGTTAAGCTAATGATTACACGCTTTCTGCACCTGAAGACAATGTTCGCGGTACAGTCTCAGCAAAGGGTAAGGTGAGGTGAGGAGAGGAGAGAATCTCTCGGTTTATGGCTCTGGAAAGCTGAAAGTCGTTAAATTGCGGCGACACTAATTGGTAAAATTATTTCACGGAATTACATTTTAGGGCAAACTTTTACTTTTGCTCAGGGTTACTTTAAAATCTTATAAAGCTTTAAAATTAAGTAAATAAAAAAAGGGAGGAACGTTGCATTTTGTTATGGAATTATAGGATCGGCTCTTAAAAATATCACATTTTTTTATCAATAATTATCAATATTTCTATATGACAATTTATTTGTAAAATCAAGCTTTAAAAATAGCATAACTTGGCCAAAAAAGCATTAATTTCAATTCGGAAATCATCTTAATGCTAGTTTTAAATAGGTTAATAAATCTGCATACTCAATATAAATTTAAAAAAAATTAAGAATTTTGCCAATTTTTGAAAATTTTAATGATGTAACCCCTTATAAAATTTTGGAATTTTGAAAAATTTGCAAAAATTTATTTTTTGCCGAAGCCTAGCTAGTCGATAGACTTGGCTGTTGATGCTGATCAAGAATATATATGATTTAAAGGGTCGGAAAAGAGTCCTTCATAGAGTTTTAAGCTTTTAACTATAATATTAAGATACTCGATTTATAAGATACATTTCTTCTGCTGCTCAAAAGCTACTGAATTACTTAATTCCTATTAGCTCATACTCTTGCTCTTGGAAGGTTAACTTCTAATTAAATATTTATTTAAATAGAATTTAAATCACACTTTGAGCCTTGACCTTCTTTGCCATAACACCTGAAAATTCCCAGATAAGCAATATGCTGATAGCTGGCCTAATGCCACTTATCTATGGCACTAAAGCCCTAATAGTTATATATTTTTGGACAAAGTAAATAGCCAAACAGAGCCTCAAAAATCGAGCAAACAAAGAAGCGTGGAGCGATTGCAGGTATCTTAAGGTGGAAATCCTTACCAAAGCCCATTTGTTAAGAGTGTGTGTGTATGGTAAAAAAGGTAAATTGTTAAATTGGTAAACTGGTATCTTTGGTAAATTGGTAAATAAATGCACGTTGAACATTTCTCGACCCGGCCTCCAGTTTATTTATAAAGGTAAAATGCCGGCATTTAAATTCCGCGGGCATTGCGCACCTGAGTGCCAGAGGGGGAGAGAAAGAGAGAGAAAAACAGAGCTTCCTGTGAGAGGGATCGAAATCGAATTGAGGTGATCTGTCATGTGGCCTGCTCTTATACACCGACATTTAGCAGCTGTTGCAGCATGGCGTATACTTATTATAAGAGTTCGGTTGCCATGCCATGCTTTTTGTTTTGTTTAGCGTTGTTTTTGTTTTTATTTATATTTTTGTATTTTTTTTGTTGTTGGACTGTACACTGCAATAACTCAGATGCGTTACCTTGCTCTCTGTCTCTGTCGCTGTCACAAGTTCACTTTGCGTTCGAGTTCAATCCAAGACAAACTAGTTTTCTTTTGTAATTACTATTGTAATTGCTATTGCTGTTGTTGTTAAATGAAGCACGTGCTGCTTCTTCTTGGCTTTCAAAACAATGCAATTGGAAACCTGTACATTTGCTTAAGAGCTACCAAGTGATAAATGAAATCGTTTAGCCAACACACAGGCACACATTCACATGGCTTATACACGGAAAGAAATGTGGTTATTAATTAAAAAACAGTCTAAAGGGCTATAAAACGAAATAGCTTGAGCTTAAGCTTATTATTAAAATAAGTTTGGTATTAATGTCTCATAAAATGAAAAATTTCTAAAGCATTTACAATTAATTTGAGCAATTTTAAATCTATTATAAATTTATACGTTTATAGTTTTGCCAATTTAAAGAACCATTTCTTAAAAATTTTAATTGTTTATATCTTTAAATAAATAAATCATTAAACGATTAATTAGCAACACGAAAATCTAAAAATTCGTATGTATTATTTGTTTAAGTTAATTTATTACCTTTTGAATCATAATCATTGGAAAAACAGTCTGAGATTTAGGTTTAATGAATTAATAGCCATCAATCGATCATCATTTCAAATTTGTTTGCATATTTTTTGTGTGTGTTTTCTTGTTTTTGCGTAGAGTGTTTGTGTGTGTGTTTGTGTGTACTGCCACTTACTCGTACATGGCATCCACGAGATCGCGCTCCCAGGTCATCAGTCGCTTCATTTTGCACGAACGAAAGGATAAGCTCTCCCAAGGATGTTAACAACAATTAAAGGATGCAGATGGGATTCCGGTTCCGATTTTCTATCCGCTGACGGAACGGAGCACGCGCTGCGTTGTATAACTTTGGCTATGTAAATCTGTGCTTCTGCTGCGGCTCTTTGTTGCTCTCTGTTTGGTTTTTATGCGACAATTTTGCGCCGATTTCGATGGCAACTGAAATGTAACGGCAACAGCGGCGTCGACGTTGGCAGCAACAGCGGCTGAGCAGCGATGTTGAGAGGTGACAGCTCCTCCCGCACAACAAAAACGATATAAAAGCGCGGCAACCTTGGCTACAGTTGTTATTGTTTTTGTTATTATAATTTTCGCAGTTGTTGGATTTATAATTATTATAATTGAAAACAAAAGATTCGAGCACTTTTCAGATTAACTTTAATACTGTCGACGAAAGCGGGTGACGTTATCGCTGGCGATGTGTGTGTGTGTAGGGTGTTCGTGTACTGTGAGGCAGGTTTCGGTTGTTGTTGTTCTTATTTTGTAAACTTGAAACACCAGCGAACTTTATTTTTTATGGGTTTTGACTATTTATAATTTATATTCCCCCTTCCACTTTACTGCGCTTAATCACAAATGCGTTCTTTTCGTGGTGGGAAAGGCAAAAATTGTTTTTATTTTGAAATAAACAAAAGCGCTCATTATATTCCCGACAAACGCTCTGCGTAGAGCAGCACACTCGATTTGTAGAGTTCTGTTAGTTTGTTGAATTTGCTAGTTGGTAACGGTAAACGCGCTGAGTAACTGATGTTTTAACGGTGTTCCATTGGCCAATGAGCCTCGTGTGTTGCACGAAATGCGTTTAAATAAGCTCTGTCTCTCTGGGCGATCTTGCAACGGGAGAGCAAGCACTCGAGAGGCCGGGGGAGAGCAGGTGTCAGCGAGAGAGAGAGAGAGAGCGCACGGCAGGTGTATAACTTTCTGCGAAGACGGCTAAACTCAAACTGAAATGCTCGGTTGACAGCTTTGTTGCTTTTTATTATTTTGAGTTTAAAGTGGAAGACGCGATAGCAGCGCAAAAGCAGCGGCAGAGGCAAAAGCAAAGCAAACACAGAGTGACAACAGCGTGTAGCTAAAATCACACACACACACATACCAACTGAGGGGGACAAACAAACACTCTCAAGCATGAAATACAACAGCTGATAAAATTCTCTCGATTCTCTGCTTTTGTGTAGAGAGAGAGAGGGAGAGAGGGAGCCCGACAGGAAGCTCCACTCTCCAGACGGCAGACTTAATTCGCCCTTAAATCAAGGCAATTAACCCGGCCAATACGGCGAGTTCATAAACAGTTACATCCCCTGACAGCCGATCGTTGCCATAAATTGCCATAATGCCGCAGCACACAACAAAACAAAAGACAAAAGTTAAGCATTCAAGTCGTATGGCAATCAAGTTTAAAGATTTTCGCCAATTAACTCGCATAAAACTCAATTTATAACTGCAGTTTCATCAGCGTCACATACATATGTGTGTAAATATTTATGCACAAATATATATATAAACATTTAGTGGCATCTTCGCATATATTAGCGTACTAGCCCTGTTGCCATATGCGATAATCAAATCGAGCACGTCTGCTTATTCAATCACGATTCGTTCGTTAGACGATTAGCAACTGGAAATTGGCAAAAATAAAAACTTTAGTATCATCGTAAGCAAAAAATAGATTCCACAATGCATGTGACCATTCCTGACGAACATCCCGTTACGTTCCACCTCCTGCATTTCACAAAAATTTATAGCCACCTTTTCGATCGCTCTTTGATATTTGAGTTATCAGCGTGGAGCCACTTTGCACACGACCAACTTTTAGTGGCTGTACTTATTTCCAGGCGGTACTTTTGTAATCACATGATGGAAACGTGGACACATGGACTCTTTGTCAATGGAATGGCTCAAGTCATCAAGTATATAAGGTTCCTGGTACCAAATAATCCTTGATAGAAGGTCTAGAGACAGGTTTTCTTAAAGGGGAATCAGTATCAAGTATCACATTGTAAAACTATTGATTAGTAGGTATTTTTCCAGGAAGTTTTTGAAGGGATCAATCTATCAATAACTTTGAAATACATTATAATAATCCTTGATTGAAGTATTCTTAACCAGGTTTTGAAATTAACAGGAAAGGTGAGGTAAGGTATAAGTATCTCATGATTTTAGGTAGTTCTAAAACTTTACTTGACAAAGCCTTATAAACAGAATTATTATAACTTTTGTGACTAACCTTAAACCTCATAAAACACCTATTGAAATGCACTTAATTTGACAAGTCATTGTTCTATTAAAACATTGTTATTGCATTTTGTAAACCGTTCTATTGACCAACTATTTTATATAATTAACTAATCTTTGGCCATATTTAAAAGTTAATTATACATACAAATGAAAACTATAATTTAATAAACTATAAACAACAGTGTCACTCTTAGCTCAAACACGCGCGCAATATTAGTTAAGGGCTTATAAAGCCATTAAGTTATTCTGGCACTTTCCCTTGATCAATTTACAACATTTAAGCGATAATTGACTGTCTAGATCTTTGCCCTGCCTGAGCAAAAGTGGCCATAATCAACAATTGCCGGACGGTGATTCCACGGGGAATTATCAAATGGATCTATCATAATAAAAATAATTAATTTCGCTGAATCGTGAGCAATCGGTCGCAGACATTCGGACAAGCTCGAGTGGCGCACGATCGGGCCAAGTAAATATTGGCCAAATCAATTGCCGGCGGAAATGAGGCAAATGGCGGGAAAGCGGCAAACCGGGAGTGTTGTGGTATAAAAATCAATCATACGCACCGTGAGCCAAGCAGCCAGCAAAGAAGAAAGTGTGTCGAATGCGCTACAGGGCATAAATATCACTCAAACACTCAACTTAGCTATTTATAGTTGGCCCGAACAATCGGAACATAACTCGCAGCATCTATATACATAGGAAATCCCCTGTGGTTCTGGCATTTGGCCAACCGAAATGAGTCCGCCGTTCGAGCATTTAACACGCTCTTAATTAACTTATGACCAAATAAAACCAATCGAGTATTGAAATTTGAGGCTCTGGCATTATGCATTATGCAAATTTATGTCAAGGCAGAGAGGCAGGTGCGAGTCGTTGACTCTCGCTGGGAGAATGTTCTCATAAACAGCTTATGCCGAACCATTAGTTCTCGGTAAACACACACGCGTAATGTCAGGGGCGTTCATTTGGTACTCAGACTCATATACTCACACTCACACTCGCACTCGGACTCGAACCAACTCTACTCCCAATTAAGTCAGCTCGGAATCAGAATCAGTATCTGAATCTGAATCAGAATCATAACCAGAATCTGTATCTGTATCTATAGCGGAGCTTACACGCTGTGCTAGAAGCAACAGGCGGAAATAATATTTAATTGTCCACCCACTGACGGCGCTCAAATCAAAATAATTCAATTTTGTCATTTCAGGCAATCAACTCAAAAGGTTTATCTCGCTCTAGTGACTCGGTTTCTCATACCACAGTTCCAGTGACCAAAACAGACGTCACCTCCAATTTGCATATCAAAACGTATATCGTATGAGCCATATTATAGCTATCAATGGACTGAGACACGTTTCTTGAAGAAGTAGAAAAAAAGAAACAATCCAATGGGAAGTGCACCGAATGCGGTTTGTTTACCAACAACACATTGCCTTGCAAAATGTGTGTGGGTTCTCGGATTAAGTGCTTTTTCGCTTTGCAAATGCAGATTCTTGGAAACTCTTACAGAATGCACAGAGAAACACTTATTGGCTTTGCGATGAGAAATATAGATTTTAGGGGTATTATTATTATACATATTTTAAGCAAAACTGTTTTGGTTGCATGACTGAGTGCTTCTTGGAAGCTGTGGCAGAATTTATTAAGAGAGTGAAGCTGTGGACAATTAAATTCCGAAATGATAACACAAAACCCTGAAATAACATTCTGAGGAAATACGTAATTGTTATGAGATAAATTTAGCTCAAATCGTACATTTCAGCATCTCTTTAATATATATAATAAATCGTTTTTGTTCTCGAAGCTATTAAGAGTATCTTAAAAATGTTAATAGAGTAAAAAAGTATTTGCTTTTTAAGCGAAATACTGCGGATGTTTACTTTCTGTGCTAATAGCTTTTACTAATATACCAATATTGATTAAGTAGTACCTTTTGGAGTTACATCTTTAGTTCAAAAATTCTATTTTTAATTGAAATCCCTTCTTTTCCACAAAGTCTGTGACCAACATTGCGTATGCGTAATATTATCCGTTTATCAATATTAATTTTAAAGTAACTTGCTAAACTATTTAGGAAATAAATACCTGCTCTTATAAATACATTTTCATCACATATCTGCCAATTTGAAAAGAAATCCCTTGTTTACCATCAACTTCTTGACCAACGTTGCGTATGAGCAATATTATCTGTGTATCAATATTGATTTAAAAGTAACTTGCAAATCTATTCTAAAAACAAATACTAGCTCTCAGAGTTATATTTTTAGCTCATATTTTCACGTTTTAAAGGAAATCCCTTGCTTTTCACAAGCTCTTGACCAACGTTGCGTATGAGTAATATTGTCAGGGTATTAAAATTGATTTTAAAGTAACTTGCAAAACTATTTAGAAAATAAATACCAGGTCTCAGAGTTATATTTTTAGCTCATATTTTCAAGTTTGAAAGGAAATCCCTTTTTTTCCACAAACTAATTGACCAACGTTGCGTATGAGTAATATTATCTGTGTATCAATATTGATATAAAAGTAAATAGAAAAACTATTCAAATGAACAAACACTAGCTCTTAGAGTTATATTTTTAGCTTAAATATTACATTTTAAATAGAAACCCCTTGTTTTTTGCCAACTCCTTGACCAACATTGCGTATGAGTAATATTTTCCAATTACACATTACTCATACGCAGTATGGGCCACAAATAATCTTATCTGTTTTTTTTTTTTCTCACTCACCTGGTCAGTGGTCCCGGTGATTCGCTAACGGCTTTAATGGATCGCCGAATCTGTCGATGGAAGCTGCCCAAAATGGACTCCTTACGGGAGAGCTGAGTACCACTTCCGCTCGATTCGCCGCCCGTTGAATTGATATTAGAGGCATAGGTTGATGTTCGCTTGTAGGTCTCCTCCAGACAACCTGTTCCTGGCTCTGATGCCACGGCAGGCGTAGTGGATGCCACCAGCTGGTCCACATTCAGGGGAGTGGTCTCCTTGGAATCGTTGTTATTACCACCACTGCTCATCTTGACTATGCTCGGGGCATTGGCCTTATCCTTATCCTCCGGCAGGAGCTTGGCCCAGGCATTCTCACCCACCAAATCCGACTTGTCCACTATCATTTTTGGCATTGACTAGTTACTGCTCTAAGTTAATTACAAATAGCTGACTGCACTTTGAGTGCTCACTTTGGTATATATCGCAAGGGAAGGGGGAATCTTCGGGGTTTGTGTTATAAGGGAAAGTTTGAGTAGCTATTCAGGGCGCGTTTCTTTTCCAGTCTGGAACCGTGCGAGCCAATCATGGATGGTTCTTTGCTGGCGGCCACGTTATTATCTGCAACCAAATTGGAACAGAATAGACACAAATGCGGATTAGAGCTTGGTTTATATGTTGGAGAAGTTATCAGTTGGGATATTGTCACACCGCCCACATCTCATTATTAAGTCAACATTGTTTTCATGGCGTTATAATATATTTTTTAACACACTTAACAAAGTCCTAAAGTTCGTCTCGAGTCTGTGGTTAACCAATTCGTGAACTTTAATTCACGGTTTCGCTTTACAATCTATCTGGAGGTGCTCGTCTCCAAGGGGAACGAACTGGTGAAGGGAGGGCATACTGTGGTGATGCTTTAGGAAAAATTTGACACAGCTATGCTTTAATTTCCTTAATTTTCACAGAGAAAT